TCCGGTTCATCTTTGGATTTTTGAAATTTATCCAAAACGCCTCAAGAGTTTTGCGCGTTGATGTTTTTGATTCCTGCGCTGGGATCCGCACATTCACCTCAAAATCATCGCCGTTGTGCTTTTGTGCCCTATGCGTACCAAGAGGGGTGTTTAAACGGATTTTAGCTTTCCCATCTCGATGTTCTTCTATGCGGACACAAAGTGGTCTACCCGTTTCCCCGATATATTCCTCACCGCATGCATTACATGAGATCAAGTATATTTTACCTGAACTCATGCAATCCCCGTCTCTCCCGTTAGGACAGATCATACAGTTTTCTGAGCTGCACAAACGATCATAGAGACGGTTTCGAACTAACTGGTGGCGTAGGGATTGGGTGAGATGTCAATAATCGTTACGTAATTTTCAAGACCACTTTTTCTTAAGCACTTTTTAATGGCTTGACTTACTTAATTTGATATGAAGGGCAGCTTAAAGGGGATCCTACTTTCGTCTGAAATATTAATATTTGGGAAACTACCCAACGTTTTCCTCTAATCCGAGTGGCTTCTACTTCGTAGCCATTGGAAATGGCAGTTTTTCGTGCCAGGCTTCGCGATTCCTTCCTTTCCTCTTCTCCCGTACACACATTCTTGGCCGTACGATACATATTTTTGATAAGTGCTTTTTTCATGTGTGAAGGATGAGAGGAGAGGCAGTGGAGTAGAATGTTTTTACTACTTGGCTTGCGATACCATTTTGTTATATAGCCACTTACTGAGAGCTTTATTTGGATGTTTAAGAATGGAAGCCAGTTCTCGGTAGGTTTTTCTCGTGTAAATTTTATATACTCTGACTGTCGGTTTAATAATTCAAAGCACTCATCCATCTGTTCTTGTGTGGAACAGACGATGAAGCAGTCGTCTGTGTATCGACAGTAGAGTAAGGGTCGGTGATCGAGAACTGGAGCTTCCACCTTAGACATGAAAGCGATGGCAAGGCTTGGAGCTAAACGCTGTCCCATTGCCAACCCTCTAACTTGTGTAAAATATTTTCGAGACCACGAAGATCGAACAATTAAGGCATTATTTTAAGAGAGTCATTAGTTGCGTAATCGAGAAGCCGTACATTTTTATTTTCTTTTCATACTCTACGAGCAACTCGAGAATGGCTTGCATTGCGGAGTCATTGGACAGGGTATAAAGTGAACTGACATCGAATGACTCCATTATATGCGTGCTGTTTGGTTGCGCGCGCCTTAGGTGATCTAGAAATATTTTGGTGTTAGGTAGGTGGGTTTGAATGAATTTTAGCAGCTGGGTTAGGTGAGGTTTAGGAACCACGTTATTCTATCCGTTGGCCCTCCTATACAACTGATGATAGGTCTAACTTTATATGATGATGGGTTCGTTGACGTAATATCATCAATTGAAGTAAGTTATGTCTTTTAATAAGCAAGTAAAGGACAGGGCAAATCGGGTGTTCGTTCTTAAGTCGATATATATCAACTGTCTATGCCGAGGTTTATAGAAAGTCGGTCTTTCGGATTACTAAAACATTTAACAGCTCACTTGAATTAGGTACAGAATTTTGCATATTTGCGGTTCAAAATCTCTACTCCGTAGAGGCAGTGATAACGAATAAAAAATCCCACAATAGGAGCACTGCAGAATATCTACAAAGCCATTTCCAGTTTTTCTCCGAAAACATTACCGAAAGTTACCTTGCTGAGCTATGCCGTGCTGGCTAAGTAGAGTTTCGTTAGTTTACTGGACCACCTCGTAGTAGACTTGTGGTGCTCTTGAAGGCGATTCTCGAAACCCCATCGACATACTTACCAATTACATGTGGTTTTCATTTATATTTTGCCACACTACCTCAAGGCATACCGTATGACCTTTTTGTAACGTGGCTCGGAATTCCTTAAACGGTAAAAAAGGGCAGAGCATTTGGCACCGATCAATTCTTAAATGGTGGGACATGCACTGAACTCCATTCGTAGGATCACAGAAGTGATTAAGCGCATATCGGACTTATAAATGACTTGAGGTGCTATGATTATGTACCAAGTTACTAATTCTCAAGTGTGTAAAGAAGCTATGTCCGGTGTGATTGAAGTTCAGATTTCGGGTTTTCCTGTTGGAGTCATGTGAGTATTCGAATGAGTAGATTGATTGCTCATTAACTTTACGCTTCCAGACTGATGAAGTCTATAATTTTGTGTCTATACATCAAGTCAACAATGAATTATTTATCAAGTTGATGTTTTTTTCTCCCAAACAACTTCGGTAGCAATTTGGAAAAGGGGGAGGTCTGCCCGGAACACGGGATCGAACCAATGATCACGTGTGTGCCGCAGTACCCTTCTACTTACTGCGTTATACGTTCCCTCAAGATTTCCTATATGGACAAAATTCTTGAAGTTTACGGTAATATTTATAATGAATCCATCTATTTTGCTCGTCAACAAACGAATGATCTGTAGCTTGCTGCTATTTTTTAACGCATGAAGTTGAGCTTGGCTAATCCATTTTGGCTCAACTAAAGAAAAGTTAAAGATCTGCAATGCTTCAGAATCTGAGTGTTTCCCTAATGGTACTCATACGAGTAGGACATAATTTTCTTTCTCGCTCATAGAAAACAAAAACCTAAAAGGAAGGTATCGGAGTAAAAAGATTAACACTTCAAGAAATCGAGTATATTTCTTTCCGAATTCGGTAAGGATCATACGAAACAAAATTTTCCACTGTCTCTCCAGAATGGTTTGCCGCTTCACCGTGATTTAGGAATGCTCGAGAGAGTGGGACTGCGATGTACAGTAGCGCTTTGTCCTACCACAATCCCATCTTGTAGTATAAAGTAAACATTGGCCACGGCATTACCTTACAAACAACCCAAAAAAACAAAATCAAACGCTCTCATACCAAAAGCGTGGTCACTCTCCTGTCCGTCGAACGAGATTTACCCAATGAGCTACTTTGCTGCGAATGAGAATATGTAGAAGCGTGCACTGATGCCCACTCTATTTACTTCACGATTAATACGCCTAATTTCTCTCCGTACCTTGTGTTTTTTAATTATTTGAATAACCATCTTTCGAATTCCTCGATAACCAAGTGTTTTAAACAATTATTAGATCTACTGACGCACTCGTGACGACATGAGTCGTATATGCATCACGCATCAATGGGTACAGCAGGAAGTGTGAGCTACTGACTGTTTCTTTTGTTACTCAAACCTGTTCTCATACACTATTTGCGTCAAAGTGATAGCTTCTTTTCATCATAAATTTTGTACACGGAATGGTTGGAAAAACAGCTGTATTCTAGGAGTTACAGTTTACATAAAGCAGTATATGGGACAAGTTTCCTCGTTTCTAACGGTTCCGCAGCTACTCGTTGCTACAGATACCGTGATCCAATCTTCTTGATGAGACGAAGAAAAATTTGGTGCCTGTGCGAATGTATTAACTCAGATCATTCTATAAGAACGTGCAAAAAATCGAAATGAAGGAATTTTGCCTTAGGCACTACGTCATAATTGTGCTTAATGAAAGGATAGGGCTCTCGGCGTTAATCAATCCTTGAAGGATGCGCCATGCATTCGACTTCATTAAGTATCGTTGGAGGTGATTGCATGCATATCTGACCTTTACAATGACTCGCCGTGGCCTACCGATGTATCGAGCCGGTGCTGCTATTCTTCCAGACAAGTCTGGTACTAATTTGCCGACCCGGAGGGAGGTGGGCCAGGAAGGCTTGGTGGGCCAGGACCGATTCCACGTGTATTGCAGGACGCCTCCAACCACTGCTCCACACGCGCCCTTAATTATGCTTAATACAATATGGTAGCTATTATTTCCGTTTTTGAATCGTAGAATAAGATTTGTTCACATACGTAATCAGTTCTTATCTTATTGGAATTACGTAAATGGTAAGCTTTATAAACAAAGACGCAAATACGGCTACGTTTTTCCTGTTAAGCCGATTCTGTTCATCGGAGTTTGAATTCTATAAATATAATGCTAATATCGTTGACTACATTCTCTGATTTTTTACGGTGAATATAGAATAGAAAAAATAAGTAGGAATATGTAAACATAATGTTATACCTTTTTATTTTCTGCCTACTATAATTTCGCGGCAGGGTACTAAGCGAAATACAACCACAACGTTGCTGAGATATTTGCAAAACTCATAACTCATATGTAAACATAATTAATTTTCTGGAGCGATTTTTCCAAAACCTTTATTGTTATTGGCGTAGTGGTTAAAGTTGCCACGCTGTAGACACATAGTCTCTGGTTCGATTTCATGCACCGGAAAACCATTCCTACAGTGACAGCAGATTTGCACCGAACTTGTCTAGTAGAACAGTAGTACTGATTTGATGCATCTGCAGGCCCCCATAAGTCTTTTTTTTGCTCGACCTGTCTTTTATATCTACTGTGCCTATTGCAGGGCTTCTTGTATTCGATTCTATTTCTGGTACCCATTATCCACGAATGCCTTCCAACTATTTTCATGTGGGCTCTGCTGCAGCTTGATCATTTTCCTTTCGTTATGAATGTCGCTGTATGCTGGTCGAGTAGATTCTTCTCGGAGTCCTGAGATTACCAGGCTAGACCGTTCCCACTTGAATTACAGAGTGGGCTTCTTCCCAAACAAGATTGGTAGTAATTTCACGTCCATGGAGGTATGATAGGATCGATTAGCACGTGAAGTAGTCGAATCACAACTGTGCTCATGGTAATCGGCATCATTACCACTGCACTACTTGTCCCTTCTCATAAGTCACTGTATTGACCAAATATGAATTCAGTCACCTCTATAATGTAACGATAGATTCAAATGCATAACACATCCTAGAGCGAGTTACCAACGCCGAACGCGTCAGTTTCGTTTATTTTTAATCGAAACAGCAGCTGCTTTGATCGACACTCATCTTCTGTATTATGCGTAACTACAGATTAGATTAGCCGCCTGGTCATGAGAATCTTTCGCAGATTGTTCTTACAGGAATGCTTGCGTCTCCTCCACGGGACAGGGATTTTTTGAACGAAAAAGCTGAGAGCATTCTTCACGGCTTCAAATTGTAAGTATAGTTTTTAAGGAGTAAAGTTAGGGAATAAGACTGGTAATGAATACGTTTTTTAAAAAACTTAACTGAATGGCATAAGAACATATGTGACAACTGGTAGTAAATTAATGAGTATTTTCAGTCGATTTTGGTTTTATCTCAAAGGAAAAAGGATTCTCTGTTACAACGTCATAAAGACCCTTTTTTCGTACCCTTTCTTTAGTACGCAGGTGATTCAGAAATTGGATGAATCTACGGGATGCTGAAAGTGGTCGAGTCTTGTGGCAGAGTACAGAAGACATGGCTGATCCCCACCAGGAGCATGAAGGTGAGAATTCCAAACGATCACGTTCGTAAATGTCTCTTTTGGATAACAGATCGAGAAATCAGATTTAGTGACATTTTCAGCTCTTCTGTCAAAGCAAGGAAAACCTTTGTAGCATTAAATTTGCACTCGATATTCATAAATATGTGGAATTCCTACACCTAAAGTATCTCACGAGGCAACAGCTTTCTTGATGCTATATTCCAGCACTCAACATGCTTACAGTCTAAACATTTGATGCAAACGTTGAATATTATTGTGGTAATGGAAGACTAAATGGTCTCGAATATGACTCATTAACTTAGTGCAATAAGGAGCAGGTTTAGTGCAGTGGCCAGAGGTGCCCCGGAATACATGGTCCCTGGTTTGCTACCACTTTGCTACTCAACCGATCCCACAACCGCCAGGTGTCGGATAATTGGTGACAGATTTACCCGTGATCATAACAGCACTATCTTAGTGCACAGATAGGCTACCATAATTCATTGTATGGGCAAATGCGCAACCATTCACCTCTACGATGCTACGAATGGAGTCAAATACATAACATATTCCTGAGGAATTGATCAATGCCGAATGCTTTAACGTTTTAGCATCATGCACCATATTAGGTAAGCAGATGGGTTACGTATACGCTAACGGAGAATGCAGCATTACACGATGTAGCGAAGTTCGATGACTGTCTTGTCGATTCAATAACCAAATAGTAAGGGGCGACTAGTTAATGTTGCGTTTTCACAAAGACACGTGACTGCCTTAGCATATCTGTGTTGATATATTCAGTTGTCCAGTAAGGAATTGGCATTGCGTCTAGATGGAAACGTTGACGTTTTTGCATACGGGAAGTTTGACTGTAAACGTTAATTTGGGTCTGGGCATTGTTACCCATCACTGTTATCCACTATTAGTGCTATTGGTACTCTTATTAAATTTTGTTATAACCAGAAACCATGAGTAATCGATCGCCCTTCAGCAGAATTTCGATTTGAATGGTAACCTACCGGTTGCGCAAGACTTTCTTTCATCGGAGCCTCAAAAGCTGTCATTCGCATGTTATTACCGTTTGCTACTCAGTGGTTATCTTCTTTCATGGACGGCACAGATTCTTGGCACTGGCTTTTTCCTAGCTTGGCTTCCAGATGAAATGAAAATTTCGAACTTCTTCTCACCTTATGAGATGCTATTGAAATCGAATCACTCGTTGTAGGTCGCAGTTTGACACTTAGGAACAAGCCATGATTAGGCAGGTGAATCACTAGGGAGTATTCTTCTGTCATTATATTTTTTTTTGTATGACCCGACATTACATATCATGTTGTTTGGATCTCAACAGTTATCGCATTGGATTCATTTACTCACGTCCACCGTCCACCGTCCACCGAGGTCTTGATTTCCGCGTGGATACGTCTTTTGCTTTAGGATTTTCCCCTTCCTTATGAATGTTGTTTGATGTTAGCAGAGCCGATTCTCCCTGTAGTCCTAAGATAGCCGTGCTAGGACGCACCCACCTGGTTTAGACGGCACCAATTTCTCGACCTCGGATGGATAAGGGCGGAGTGGGTCAAACCAGCATCTATGTATGGTGGATCCTCCTCGTAATGAACGCGATCGTTAGAATTGCATTACTAGCCCATTATCCCTCTATTCTACAACATTTAACAACTTCGTAGAACAATAATTTTCGGGGTTATTATCAAGAATGCCTATAAATTCAGCGCATGTTCCAAAGAGCATCCTGAAATGCCGCACCGTATCCAGAGAAATCAACTTCACATCTGCCGAGAAAATCAACAAATTCCGTCTAGAACAGCGAGTTTTCCTGAAGGAAAATATTGTAGAAGGTGAGTTTCTACTAGGATTTATGTGAAAGAAATTCAATTCTTACTGAATGGTGGGATGTTATCGTTTTAATACAAATTTCCATGAAATCTGTGAAACGAAACATAACCAAACATGAGAGCGCGGTATCGTCGATTCGTTTCAGCTGGGCGATTCTTAATATATTACTGTCTAGTCAGAATTTAAATACTTCAGAATTGACCGATTATCTAAGATCGAGTGAAAATTTCCCAGCAGAATCTGCTCGGCTTCACATTCACAATCTTCGAATTTAGAATGGTTCTTCGAATTCGGTTTCGTCATTCCTGATTCAACAAACACTTGGCAAACGCTAATTGAAGCCGCACCGGAATCACAAATGCTGCCAGCATCACTGTTGAGGTTTTAACGAGTATTACATTTTTTAGTTCGTTTGGACACTTTTTTAGTGGCTAAACAGATATAGACTTTCGTATCGTTTTATAAAAGAGCAATTCATCACGCAGACATGATTTCTTCTTTTTTTACATAACCCGTCATCACATCAGATGTGTGGATCCCAGCACGTGTTGTATTCGATTCGTTTTCCTCGCAGTTGTGGTCCATATTGTGCTGCTTAAGGATTTCGTCTTTTTCATCAATGTCGTGGAACGCTGGTCGAGTTGATTCTCCTTGCAATTATGGAGAAGGTAGGGCTAAGGCGTCCCATGTGGATTGGGAGAGAGCGAAGGCGGGTCGAACAAGCGCCTTTGCTTCCTGGTGGATACAGTAACTACTGCTCTCTCTCCCCTCAAGAACAATATTGTGGGTTGCACGTTAAGTGAAAATGGTGTCTTTTAGTTCGTTAGAGAAATCGTAGTATGGTTTGTTACAGAGAACAAATGAATTTGTATTCGTTGCCTTGGTTTGGATTCCGTTCATGCGGCGTATCTCGCCTTTGCTGAATACATCTGCTCTTGTCCAATACATCCTACTCATTACCATTGCTCTTTTACACCTTCAGGATCAAGAACCGTGTGCGAATGATAGAATATTTAGATAGAACCAGCTGAGAGACAGGCGAAACGAAGGACCCGCATGATATGGTGGTGAACGCGCTACTCCCCGGAAAGGAAAATAGCGCATTCGTTCCCCTGTCCCCCGCAGACACCTGCGGCCCGGAGTTTTGCAAATATCTCGGCATCGTTGAAGTTGTATTTCACAATATACTCTGAAATTAAAAAGGATAGGCAGTAAATAATAAGTTGAAATAGAATATTTAGTTTTATGGCAAATGTATAAAATGTAGAACTCAAAGATTGCGGCAAAGCTCTAGATAAATGAACAACATTGAAATGAGCTCATATTTCTGTTTTAGCGGTAACATAGTCGTGGAGACGTTATTCTACGACGATGACCTTCTCATAAGCACGTCCAAAGTGAGACTCTTCTACGACTAACCAACACCAAGACATATTTTCTCATCAATTGTATTTCACAGACATATCCATCATTTCAGTCATATTCGTTTCGTAGTACTACCAAAATATGACATTGTGTATTTTCGTCTAGCGTCTGACTATGCTAATTCTCTACAAAATACCATTTTGTGCTTGATCTGTGACAACTTCTCACTCAATTGTGATAATTGTATAGGTTTGAGCAAGTGTTACAGTGTATTTTTCTAAATTAACTATCTTGTGACCTCTCAGTGGTTTTCCACCTCATCGTGGCTGGGTGTCGAACGCCGATGTACAGCAGGGGATTCATACTCTGGCAGGGTCTCCCAAGCTGAGGAAGTCGCATGGTGGTGAATATCTCTACGATCCACAACGGCTGCGACTGCCTGTGGTGGTGAAAACCTGGGGCAAACTTTGGTCAGGCTGACCTCGGAACTCCAGGGAACCACAATGGCTTAGCCAACAAATCTCCGAAAAACGGTGATTATGCTGGGGCCCGCACAACTAGTGAGGACGGGCCGTTCAAGTATCAAGTTCAAGCAAATATCTTGCGATCTGTTATGCCTAGTCTTGTCCGCTTCTTGACACTGAACATTTGAAGAATTCACCTTTATGAAGAGGAACAGTGAAAACCACAGCACAATTTCCTTTGGACTAATATGATTCTGGCGAGGTGGAACCTCCTTGGGATCTCCAGGAAACTGCGAAAAACCATGCTCAGGTTGTTAGCCATTCATTGCCCAGGACAATGCTGGTCGAAGGAAGACTTTCATTTCTGCGTGCCGGTTTCTTACACAACGGCGGTTCCTGGTTTCCCTGCTGAACTTGCTTTACAAATAACTTCACATAACTATTTATTCACATACTATTTCAAGTACACAATCAGCTTAGCTGGGTTCAATACCGATCTGGGCTGCCCAGATCAACCCCGTTGACGGGTTATTGCTGACGGCACTGATCGATAGAACTAGCTGAGAGAAAGGTGAAACGAAGGACCCGCATGCTGTGGTGGTGAAAGCGTTCCCCGAAAAGGGAAATAGCGCATTCGTTCCCCACCACAGACACTTGCAGTCCGGAGTTTTGCAGATATCTCAGCATCATTGTGGCTGACTTCTCATATTTTCCCACGGTGTTCAATAAACACAGCAACATCGGATCAGAGAACATTGTAGAGGGACAGCACTACTACGTACGATATCTTGACTTGTGATATTGCTCCCCAACATTGAACCAGAGTTACCTGATTTCGGCAACCACCAGAGAATATCTATCGGTGGCAAGGCCATACATGGTACTAAGAAATACGATTGCCTTTACAACGTTAAAATCTGAATTAGTAGTTAAACTCAGTTATCTATGGAACGACATTTCTAAAGCGTGTAGCATAGGGGTTAGAGGTGCTACGTGGTGTCACATAACCCCTGGTTCGAACCCACTCACTAGTGCACTATTCCTCCAAGGTTGGCTATAGATTGATAAGAAGTTATCTGCATAGGACAAATATGCATTCACTCACTTTTTATGACGCTTTGATGGACCCAAATATATGGTGCATACCTTGTATAGATCAACACTGGGTGCCTTATCCTTTAAATTTTAGCCGGACTCGCATACTCCGTCAATCTCGTTTACCCAGTTTAAAGATGTATGCGGATGACACATCGTAAAAAGTCGAGAAGCGAACTACTTCATCACTGATACGAAGGGAAGGAATTGGAAAAAATCCAAACCTCTCACGATTACCATAAACCTCTTACTAATCCACTACATGATCTCCGAGACCTCGGAGAGTTCACAGCGATTGCAAAACGCAGATGATTACACTGCGAGAGACGACAGATGAACGAAAAAAACTGTACGGTGGACTCGCGAAGGTGCGAGTGCCCTTGGAACGACCATATTTGTAAGTAAAATCAATCAGCTATTGGTTGCCAATGTTTTACAGATCACGTTATGATATTCCCACCAGCTACCATACTGGAACCAAACCACTACCATGGACGACGACTGCGAGGCAGAGAAACCAATGGAGAATGTGCTAGTGCCCATACAGCACGTGAAGAGAGGCGCCCAAACGTCTAACTACGTATCCACTATACTCAATGAATTGCTGAACGATTCGGAGTCGAAATTCCTAAAAGAAGTATCAATTCGACTTGGTCCAGATACATTCAATGTCATGCTCTCCAAAATTCTTTAAGAAGATACATTCCAGGCAAAAATTGCCAAATTAAAAAGTAATGAAATTTTCTTCCGATTTCGACTTTTCCCTAATGATTCATTGAACTTGAACAGAACATACCAAACAAATACATAAAAAGAAAGATAGAAACCCGAAATCTTTATCAACTAAATGCAAACACTTTGAGATCAACTGTTTATGCCCTTCAAGCTAATCTACCCATCACAGTACAGTAAACTAAAACGGTTAATAGAAGTTAAGGGAATTCATCTGGGAAAAGCTTAGTGATCAACAAATCCAGAATAAGGTAGGAAAGATGTTTGTTGAGACGCGGATACTGTAAAGTGTTCACAAGCCTTTTCACACCATTCCGCCAACTTCTTGTGTCCAGTGCTCGCCGTACGTACGATGGCATATGAAACGATTCGAATTTAGACACTAATCAAAATTACGAAGTAGTAAGTGATTTCGTAATTAAAAATCGAAAGCACACTTTGTTAGAATAAACTGGATATTAGAAATAACATATATTAATATATCACCACAAATCACTTTCCAGTTTATTTCATGGGTTGTGATTCCTAAATTCTTTCCATTTACGGTTTCGCAAGTACTATACTGAAACAATTATTCATTCAACTATTCAGGGAAAATATTGTAATTGTTTCCCTTGCATGATCAAATTAATGTTAGGGTAGCGATTAAAGATGCCACACAATACGCTCACTATAGCCACAGGTTGACACTTTCCTGCTGAGTCAACCAAGCCTTCACTGTCAGGAATCGGTGACAGAGTTGTCTGAGAAGTGGTCTCTCCAGTGGGTACCTTAGCGGATACCCCATGATACTTAGTTGACACTTGAACGGCCTGTCCTCACTGGTTGTGCAGGCCTCAGCATAAACTCCATTTTTCGGAGATTTGTTGGTCAAGCCATTGTGGTTCCCTGGTATCTTGAGGTCAGCCTAGCCAAAGTCTGACCCAGGTCCTTACCACCACAGGCAGTGGCATCCCTTGTGGATCAGAGGCAGATTTACCACCATGCGACTTTGATATCAGGACGGTGGTAGATCCTGGTATTGGTTTACTTTTAGCTAGGCTTCCTGATGGAAACGCCAAACTCCTCAGCTTGGGAGCCCTACCAGGAGATGAATCCCCCGTTGTACATGGCAGTCTTACACCCAGAAACATCCCAGCCACGATGAGGCGGTAAACCGTTGGGAGGATATTTATACATATATAAACATATATATAATACGCAAATAATCGACATATATATATGTATCGAGTATTTATGTTGCTTTCTTCTTTTTTTATACCGAAGTCGGTCTTTCGATGGCCTGGCCGAACTCAGATTTCCACGGAACAATGGCTTAACCAGCAAAACTCCGAAAAAGGACCCGCACAACTAGTGAGGACGGGCCGTCCAAGTACCGAAGTATCCAAGTTTCATGTAAGTACTTTTAACGCCGGAAATAACGCAACACCATCAGCATTTTTCCTCTTTGTGAACACATTCTGCTTAATAACTAAACTTTTTCTCCTTTGGACGGAGTACACAGATAATCAATCAGATACATTCCTTTCTTCACACTTCACACAAATAAATTCGTATCCACCTCATCTTGAAAGAATTCTAAGGCCCGTCTTGTAGCCAACTCCTCGCGCAAGCTTTTCTCCTGCAACAATTAAGAAAACTGTTAGAAGCTGAATGAATACATGATATACTTCTCAATATGAACAAAACAGAAAGCACATGAAAGCAGCGGCTCACGTACGTAGCCAGAGAAAAAGAAAGGAAACTTAAAGCGACAACGCTGTACCAGTAGTCACCTGATCAGATGGCAGCGAGCCGTCCGAGTAAAAAATAGCTGCCTGGATCAGACGAGTGATTGCGACAAGATTTTGTTCATTAAACAGCGTCCAGCATGCTCTTTTCAGCAAGAGTAGCAACAAATTATCTACTGTGTCAGAACAGAGGTCTCTAAAAAAAACATGTGATCAGTCCAATAAAATTTTGCGTGCGAATTAATCAATAATAAGGAACAAATCAGATGTACAATGTTTGGCTCGGGAAAAGTGGTCGCTGTGAAAACACAAACTAGAAAGAATAAGAACCTCAGAGCGGAATGAATATTCAATTTCCACTGTGCAATATGAGACACGAACGAGAAGAACAGTAAGGACATGCTATCCATGAAACTTCTGCATCTACAAAAATTGACATCAACGAACAATCAGAGAACTCTTCTGGCAATAAAACATAACATACGAAGTCGTAAAATCTATACACCTTGACCACTTTAAACCAGCGTAGTCATGCTCTTCCGCAACTTTACATCCATAACAATTATTGACAAAAAGCGGATTATAGAAGCTGGAATGAGTGTTCTCAATGGCCATGCTGAGAGATGATAAACTACTGAAAAATTAGGCTTTTTTTTGCGAAAACCAATATTTTGATGAATGAACTAGCAAAAAGAATCATAGATGAAACAAACCTTAAATCAGACACTTCAAATTTTTCCCTGAAGTCCATTTTTTCTGGAGCATATAATGTATTCGCAAGAAGTGTTAGAAGGAAAGGACGAAGATGCTGTCCTTTCTCACGGCTCAATTTTCCTGGCATTCTCTTCACTACCTAGCAAAGAATTTTCGTTAATATTTTCAAGAAAGAATTTAGTCGCTCACAAAATTCTCAGCATTGATTTCAATCATTAAAACGTTGATCGCATGAATTGACATGATTCATAAATGTGCGATTTTAAGAAAACAAACACTGCACTATTCTGAAGTTAACATTGAAAGCTACGATTTGTTCAGTGGGATAATGGGAACAACATGAAGTGAAAACCGATGTTTTGTAATAAAAAGTTTGCTCTTTTTATTTAAACCATCTTTAAAAATTTCTGTTTTTTAATCACAATCTTAACTCTTTTATTTACTGCCTTTTTCTTCTTAATGGCAGGTTATGTTGCGAAATATTACTCGTATGAAATGCTGAGATATTTGCAAAACTCCGGACCACAGGTGTATGCAGTGGAGAACGAACACGCGCTGTTGTCCTTACCGGGGAGCAGCGCGTGTTCGTTCCCCACTGCATACACCTGTGGTCCGGAGTTTTGCAAATATCTCAGCATTTCATACGAGTAATATTTCGCAACATAACCTGCCATTAAGAAGAAAAAGGCAGTAAATAAAAGAGNAACTCTTTTATTTACTGCCTTTTTCTTCTTAATGGCAGGTTATGTTGCGAAATATTACTCGTATGAAATGCTGAGATATTTGCAAAACTCCGGACCACAGGTGTATGCAGTGGGGAACGAACACGCGCTGCTCCCCGGTAAGGACAACAGCGCGTGTTCGTTCTCCACTGCATACACCTGTGGTCCGGAGTTTTGCAAATATCTCAGCATTTCATACGAGTTCTGTTTTTTAATTCAGAGATCAGTTTCGTGGATGCTCTTAGAACCACCATAAAAAACTGGGTTTTCGAGTATATGTCTGATAAAATCAGACTGTAGTGTGCAGCAATACAAGAAGCTGCAATTTTGAAGACATTTTACCTCGACAGTTAAACAAAACATGCAGATACCGTGCCAGCAGATTCAAGCTGTAAATTAATCATTCGAAACCAGTAACGAAGAGGACGACAAATATCTTTACATGTTCTGTGGATTTACCTTCTCGATAGTGAACCAGCTGTTATTTAGAGACATTAACCATTCACAACGGATATCGATCCAAAAACTTGCATTTTTTAAACATATGAGTCATGAACAACGAAAAATATTCAAGATTCTACAAAAACTTAAAAAATGTACTTCAGGATCAAACTGGACAACGACCCAAAAAGTCGAACATCTACTATAACGACGATAACGTGATGACTTCAATGCTGATCATCTCGAAAGAGCGATTTTTCACAGATATGTTGAATTCGTGTAGAAAGACTAAGCACGAAAACCAGTGCCACTTTTCAAACGAACAAAAAACAAACCTTCCATGGATTTAAGTCGCTAAGAAGGAGATTGCAACGAAATTCTTCGCTACTCGAAAGGAATGCAAAAAGAAGCTCGGACCTTTGCAACACTTTCTAAGAATTGAATACATAATTAATGAACTACAGGGAAAACATAAACGATCTATTACCAATATCAAACAGCACCTGCTTGCAGAGAGAAGACAGGAACAGTTGAAAAAGAAGGCGATGCTGCTCCAAAAATGCACGATTTCTACTCATAGGTGTCTGTAAAGCAATTCTTTCACAAACATAAATGATAATTTCACTTCCCGTTATTGTTCTACAGCAAAAAACTATCGTAATCACATCAGTTCTAAAGAAAAAAAAAAACCCAATTTAGAAGCAAAGCACTAGGTCTCTTTTGAATATTAAGATCATACTCAGTAGAATGCTCAAGAAAATCGAAAAATTCAACCGAAATCGAACACACAAGCTCTTGACATTCCACATTCCTAGCTCGAGTTTTAACAAAATGCAACTATTCAGTAAAATTTCTTAATAATACAGTACAACACTTTGCTATTAAAAAAACGTTTTCATAATGGCTTAAAGTAATATTTGCGACTTTAACTCTCTGCTAAATAGAGCTTCTTTACCTTTTTTGGTGGTAGCATGGTAAAACGGAGTGAGTCACCATGGAACTCGAGCAACTTCATTTCAAGAACGTAAAATTCGATAAAACGCCTGAAATTCACTGGTGTTTTCGAGGAAAAAGGCATATAAAGGATTCAACTATAAAGGCAGATCAGAAGATTTAATAAAACAAAAGCGAAAAAGGCCTGTTATAATGCACAAAGTGGAAAAGCATACCGGTAAATACACCAACGCTTGGTCTCGCTATCCTTGCCTTCCGTCCTTTCCACATCAATGACATATACGTAAACTGTTCTTCCTAACAAAAATAAGACTTTTTTCTCACATTTCTATCCCATGAGTTATATATATCACTCATCAGAGATGAGGATAATGACCTCTTTGAACCAAAATATCGCAAATGTCATCGAGTCATCGAACGTTATTAACTTCAATGAGAACTACTACAATTTTAAGATTTTTACAAACGAAATTCAAGTTTTCTCATTCACTTTAGTGCTCGCCATGAAAACTTAGAAATTTTGAAATCCGCTTGCAGTTCATGTTTTCCTGGAACGCTTCATCCTTTTTTGTTTCCTTTAAAATTTTTTGAAAGCTCGTTTAAATCTAATTGACGAGTTTAAACTAAAAAAAAATTATAGCAATTGTACATACTGTGAAGTTCTCTACTCCTCCACTACTCCATTTACCACGAAGTTGTCACTAGTTGTCGAAATACAGGCACAGTTGCAAATGAATTAAAAGCTTTCTACTTTTTGCACATTTACCAGTATTGGTTTCTCTCATTGGAGCGATTCTACTGATGTTCACCTTCCACCGATTAATGTTCCGCGTTTCCTCATAGATTATTAGAACCGGTTGAGACCTCGAGGTTTCCGCTACTGATGAGGAGCTTGCCTCATCCTCATCCTGGAATGTGTTTATCGACATATCTTTACTAACATTTCGCGTTCTGAGCAAAACTATGAAAAAACTTAACAAAAAACTATCTTTGGAAGAAATCATTATAGACAATGGCAAAGCCTGGAGAAACCAAATTTGTTAGTAAAACTGATCCTGATGCTAAATATTCGATTATAAACTTTTCCAGATATAAGTGCTAATGGCTAAGATGGTAAAGTGGATGGAGTTGAGTTTTTCTAGAGAACGCGAGGTGGGACTGACTTCATCATACATCGTTAGACGTGAATGAATGCATTTCCGATCTATAAAATGACTCGGGATGGCCTGCCGATTATTAAATCAGTGTTTTCACTCTCCTTGACAAGTCGGGCACTAATATGCCCACCCCGAAGAGATGAAAGGGTTGCTAAACCCTACGTATATCATCGAGCCAGTAAGTGGTCCAATGTGTACTGCAAGGTATTTCTAACGATTGCCTTTCTACTAGTAGCCTATATGATTCAAAAACTAGTATAGGAAAAGCATTTCCTCGCCCAAACTATGCAAAATTGGAAAGGAAATATGCTAGTTATTGCTGATGGCAAAAGATCGATAAAACTAGCTGAGAGACAGGCGAGATGAAGGACCAGGATGGTGTGGTGGTGAACGCGTTACTCCCCGGAAAGGACAATAGCGCGTTCGTTCCCCACCGCAGATATCTGCGGTCTGGAACTTTGCAAATATCTCAGCATTATAGTAGTTATATTTTGCACAATACCTTGCCGTTAAAAAAAATAGGCAGTAAATAAAAAGGTTAAGAAATATGCTAGTATTCAGAACAAAATTAACTGCATAAATATCGTAAAGCCATAGCGAAAATTCTAAGAAACGTTAAGAACGAAATGAATGTAGAATGTCGAGCTTTGTTAAATCAGAACAAACAAAGTCCTAGCGACAGAAATTAATGGACTCTAAAAACGCTTATGTTAGATAATAATATAATGCATGAACCTTTCTCATATGATGATTCATCACATAGGTAAGGAGTGTTTATGTGTCTCAAAAAACCACTTATCATTCCTTACAACGTAATCCCAGTCAAAGACTTCCACATAGTTACGCGAAAGTTAACACAGTGGACCAATACCAGATCATCTTTGATTTTGGACAAAGCTAATACAAGGTGACAAACCTCTAACAAAATCAACAACCGGGGACGATTTGAGAAAGGGAGAGAACACGCACTACAAATATTAAGTAGGTATACAAAGTTAGTATTTGGCTAACCGTGCCAGAAATACCACTAGCGGGTGAAACGGTTCCGTCCTCACCAGCCACCGATGTTTCGACCGAAGGTAAGTCCAGTTGAGACTGAGAACGAAATGGGAAACTTGAAGCAGATCCCTAAACTATACAATAAACACACTAGTAAATAATCACTGAAGAAAAAAAAACGTCTTAGAGACTGGATTCTGCATGAATTTGGTTTAACATAAACTATGCATCAATCTTTAAAATTTAACGCTTCCACCGGAGCGTAGCGACGTTGCACAATAAATTCTTCAATTAGTCACACATTAATGTACTAGTACAGTGAAAAAGTTATAACTTAACGAGTATTTCAAATATTAGAGCCTCCTCACCACAAAATTAATAATTATAATTGGGCCCATCCTCTAATCCCAATAACTCGAGGCGGAAACCATCCTCCTTACAATTTGTTAAAAAATCAGTGGCAATAAACGAGAAAGCAGTTCACTATTAGACCAATACTCATGAAGAAATGCAATTTCCGATTAAAAGGGCTTAAAAGAAAAGTGAAAACAGGAGCTGGTTAGTAGCATACTGCACCAACCTTGTAATCATCGGTTTGACGCTTACACGCTCCTGCCGTGACAAGATCATTATCGTTTCTTGAATCGCCAACGTCACTGAGAGAAGCATCTAAGGACTCTTCATTGTCCAGCGCACCCTCGTTCGAAACTACAGCGATGGCTCGTCGTAACCTCGATCTAGATAAAGTAGAAATGCCTTTGCCAAAAAAAAGCACACGATCTTATCCACCCCGTGTCGTACACGATAGAGATTATATACCTAAAAACAAACAAACTTTTGTCAAACCAAATTTCATCGTCCTAGATAATTCATAAAAACGCTGCCATTAGTGATGACATGAACAACGTCACAAACTACGCCTACTCAATATCCTTAATTGGTTTTGGTTCTCAATGCCAAGCAGGTTGGAAGTGTCCTTGGAACAAACGTTCATGAAATAATCTTAAAAATGATTTCAAAAAGTTTGACACATTTAATTTAGTTTCTACAAGACCTCCTTCCCATATTATTTCCAGAAATTTGTTGTGCCAGAACGAAAGAAATTACAGAAAAGTTTCTCCCACTTTACATTTCAAATCTTTACTAGACGACACTTTTCTTCGTGTAGGTTTCCTCAATTTTAATTCAAGATGCTCTTCCACGAAAGGGATTATAACAAATGAAACAAAACAACGCTGAGATAGAAAGAAACATAAAACAAGTTGTAAAACAAGGATGAAGAGTAACTGACCAATCCTTGGGGGTTGCGTCTGCATTCGACAGCAACAGGCATTTTGCTGGTACGCCTCCTAATAACTCCCACGACCGACTTTCTCGGCAATGGTCGAACAATTTATATTCTTGTTTAGCAAGCAGGTGGTGTTATTATTTCTTTATTTACGCACAAAGTGACGTGTCGGCCGATTTCGCCTTCCTCAGAGCCTGGAAAGGTCAAGTTGACAGTAATCTACCCGGCCAAACACCTCCATAACTAAACGCAGAAAGTACCAAACCAAGATTTCAATCACACTGAGTACAGAATAGCTTATGGAGGTTGTGGAGGTGTTTGGCCGAGTAGACTGCAGTCAACTTGTGCGTAAATAAAGAAATAATAACACCTCGTGCTTGCTAAACAAGAATATAAAGAATCACTAGGCATCTTTAGAAGTGGTTTAATGCATATCTGGTCTACCCAGTGTATGTATCCTTGCGGTGGCCTACCAATACGTCAGGGCTGCTTTCCTCGCAGATAAGTTTAGTAACAATTTGTCGACCCCGGAAGGATGCAAGGCTTTTTGGCCCTGGAATACGGGACCAAAACTATGTTGTATTGCAATGCACCCTACACAATACGAGCCCCAGAAAACAGATACATGACAAAAATCGACATAAAATTGAAACTGTACCTAAACTGAGCTAGTGAAAATGTTCCTTCGGACGTCACCGATTTCTTTGGTGCAGAACGTTGTTCAATCAGCTCATTGACGCTCACTGGTGGACTACCACAAAGATAACTGCATTGGACAAACATCATTAAAATAACCACACAATATGCCTAGGTTAATAAGAAAAATTACCCAAAGAAAGAATCCGATTGACAGAATGAAATCACGTAATCGGTTTGCATGCGTTGGTAGACAATTTGGTACGACTAAAAGAACATCATGTGATCAGATTTCTCGGAAGTTTCTATTTTCATTTTTATAGGAATTGTTACCTACCTCCAATTCTTCAAAAGTACTTATTATATGGGTAAACTGAACAGAATTTAACCTTCTCAATGATTTTATCCAACATAGGCAAATTGTTGCATTCGACAGCAGCTTTAAATTCGTTCACGATCTCATTGTCGAATTCAATCCGATCTGGTGCACTGTCATGCACGAATTGTCCAAACAGTTGCCAAATATCATACGCAATCTGACTAGACGACTCATCCTAGAAGTAAAAAAAACATAAACAAAATGGTATTTATTTCAAGCAGCAAAACCTCATTCACACCATATCTATAATTTTGTTAAAAACGTTAACAATGTAGTGGGTTGTTCGGAAATTAATGTAGAATTCCAATCTACATCTTCAAAAATGGCATGCCTCCGCTCAAAATAAGATTTTTAATCGAAATAAAATCATTGAACTCTGCACATTTACACCACAAAAAAGCAAAATCATGCATCTAAGTTGCATAAAACTCTGCACTTCTTCAGCCGATGAAGTCGCTGAGGGCAGTTTCGACTACAGGTTGGTTCTACCACAATCCGAGGACAGGCTACCGTAATACCGGGGATGTGTGTGTGTGTGTGTGTGTGTGTGTGTGTGTGTGTGTGTGTGTGTGTGTGCTTTCGGAGATATCAATACACCGTGTGTATATTAGCGGTGCTTAGACTTAGACCTAAGGTTAGGCTACGCTTTTATGCGTTTTGCCGGCGTTAGCTCCATGCGTAGATCAAACTGTACGACTCACGTTATGGTATCTCGCCCGCGAGTGACGTCGAGTACCGCCGACAAGTTATAACACTTGATTCCGCGCCTTACCGCTTTTGCACGGTTTCGCACGTGTAGATCAAATTTCATGATTTTGAAAGCGCACTTCTGTCACTTCCTTCTTCGTCCGCGAGGATAAGGCATAGGCTGCATTGTTCCGGCATTTTTTGCGTTTTCTAGGTTTGCGTGCGGATATTATAGCGTTGTACAGCGTTTCGCTGCCGTAACAACCGCGTCAGTGTATTTCGTCCGTAGACATCGTGTCGCGCTTAATTTTGCGTTTTACACATTCTACAATGTTTTCGGTGTGTAGATCAAATTTCACGGTTTGCGCACGGTTCTCGCGTGCCACGATGGGTCTTCTGCAACTTCGCGGCTTCGCCGTTTCCTGGCTTCAAATGAACGTTTTTGACATGTACCCTCCCCCCTTATCTCGGTACCTCGGTATTATGTCCGTACTCTCTACCTTCCCCTGCGGCTTTTTGCTGGAGCACCGACGATGTAAAGAATAGAACAAAGCACACCTAACTCCGTGCTTATCTATTCCACTCCACGATTCTTCGTCTCTCAACTTATGCGTCAGACACCTGATCGCTGTGTGAGCAGGATGAAAGATCACTAAGCCTTATAGGATGCACAGTCGAAAGGACGATGCTAAAAGTGTCCCGTTCCACACAAGTGAGGGAAGGGATCTGAAGCTCTGACCTTTATCAACCATCAAAGATCGAAAACGCCATTCCACAATGTCAAAGTGTCGAAAATAAGGTGACCAGGACACGTAATGGGTATAAACTACAACCGATAAACAAGAACCGCTACTAAGTGGACTCCTCAGGATGCCAAACGTATTGCAAGAGGACCACCGATCCGATGGTCAGAGTTCCTCATGAAAACCATTGAAGAAAGATGTGATGCTCAACGATTCCCTAGAGCGAGCAGAACCCACTAAGGCACTCTTCCACGCGACAGGTTTAAAATATACTGCCGTCCGCTCGATTCACTCGAAGGTCAAAAGGATAGCAGGTGATACAGGTGATACGACCCGTCTTTCACACTTACTGCGCGAATCCCGGCACTTCCGGCTTTCAATTCGTTCCCTCGCGCCCATCATCCACGAAGGTGATTTTCCCTTCGTCTTGAATGTCGTTGAATGCTGGTATGCTCGAATCTCACTGGAGTCCTGAAATAGCCGGTCCAGCGTTCCCACTTGGACTGCAGACAGTCAACTTTTCCCAGACAAGCCTGGTACTAATTTCCTGATTTCAGAGGGATGAGAGGCTTGGTGAGCCCGGTGCGGGATCGAACCGTGCTAGTGATGACTGGCATCATTACTACTGGGTTACCCCTCTATTATTCAACTAAATGGGCCAAAGTGCATAAAATGAGCCTACAGTGATATATAATAGCACATGATTCGAAAAAAATCCAAAACATGTACAGGAAAGATAAATACTAAACATCCTGCAGTAATTTCCGAACAAGATCATTACTTTTGTAAAACCAACAATAAGAATGAGTCTTATAATACTTTCCATTTCATCCTCTTATGAGAACTTTCCATACTTTCTTTTTTTGTTTTGCTTTCGCCATACATACATTGCCACTTTTCTGTCTGTTACTTTTACGTTGTCAGTGGCATATTCAAACCATTAATGATTTCTGGTAGTTCAGTAGGTGCAGTTGTCTAGGCTTATACCATGTCACGGGTCCTCATCTGCAGGAGATCTGAGCAAAACCTTGAGGCCAAACGAAAAATCTTCCATTGATTCTCGACAGCCGACATGCTACATGCATTATAATGGGTTATTACGAAGGTAATCCGCATAATAGGAAGGGAAAGAAAGATAAACTTCAAATATTTGAACTAAATTGGGCTCTGAAAAACCTAACATTATGGATGTGCAAAAAATGTAGCGTACACCAAAAAGACTCCAGCAGAAATTTTACATCCAAAGATTAATGTGACACCAAATAGTTGAGATTTCGTCGCTATATAACCTAACCACTTTCTTCGCAACTAGAAATACAACTGATAGAAAGAAAAAACACCTTTCTTTGCATACTGTTATGTATGCGAGAAGCTTCAGCTAAAAAGCTTAGTTCATGAACCGGTCCCCGAATATCTTGCAAATACAGACGAAACATAGAATATTGTCGTGCGTCTCTCAATACCTAGAAGAAACGAAACAGGATTAAACTTCAATAGGAAACAGTTCTAACCCTTTCCACATGAATTTAGAGTCATCGCATAAGCATCGTTAAAGCAAAAAATACGATAACAAACGATGCAAATTTTTTCATTCCATTCATAAAAACTTCACTTTTAGAGCACTTTAATTAAGTGCCACAACTTACTAGGCAAAAAAAAAAATAACGGAAACTACAACACTACCTCACTTAGTTTTAGCTGTAGCAAGGAATCTGGTAGCGTTTGTGAATTCAGCTCAACGAAATTTGCCAAAAGCACCTCCTTATTGTTCTTAAACACCTTTTATAAGGAAACATGTGTACCTGTCTCACTCTAGGATTTCCTCAAGAACATAAACTCACGTTGTTCTGGAACGGAGGCATTGTGTCATCATGCGCTTTCTGAGAATCAAATGCCATAATCAGAAGGTGATTTATCGTGTCGGGATCGGCAATCAAGTCGAGACATGGAAGCAGAAAAGCGTTCACTATCAGTTCACGCAAAAAGTGTCTAGCAGACTGCGATGGCCACGATGACTAAAAATCTGTGCTCTAAAGGAAAACCGGTTGATTTTAGAAATGATCCATCGTGAAATCCTAAAATCCTATGGGATAAAGGTGACTGTATTTCTACTTACTGTTCCCTATTTAGCTGTATTTATGAACAACATGGTGAAACATATTCGAATGGAGAGAAAACAGACAGATGAAGTTACGAAACCGAGAAACGAAAATCGCAATACTGTTTGAAACCAAGTCCACTCCGAAAATCATTAGATAATGAAAAAGATCTGAGGTGTCTCGTGAAACATCTCTCAAACCTGTGAATTAGGAAAAAACCGAAGAAAGTTAACTGGTAAAAAAATAACATTTTCCGTTGATCGCTGTAACACAGAAGGTAATGCAGTACAATAAAATCTAAACAAAGAGTTTATACGGAAAGAAATGTATGGAATATGTTTGAGAGAGAATAAATGTCTCTGGCGAAGGCTGAATTCCACAGTAGAAAATTCACTGTACATTCATTTGTAACCCGAAAAGAGTTCGCCGACGAAGAACGCTACGCGGGCGTTTAAGTAGGCAACAGAAAAATGCAGCATAAATGATGATAAGACTTGTTAGTAAATGAAGTTTACTAAATGTCCAGGTTTCAAAGGCATCAATATCATATGGTTAAAGGATTCCCCTGCTCATAGCCGTTCATATAATAACTTAGGATAGTAATGAAAGAATTTCAGCAGTAAAGAAAAATATGAGATAGAAAGATGATTAAACGAAGATCGAAGAGAGACAAAGAGGAAAACCACAGACTAACCATGTTAATTTTTCCTGCAAACTCCGATGTGCTCTCATCTTCATGAGCTCTACCAGCAAGATGAGTATCATCAAACAGCTTTGTTATCAGAAAATCGGCCACCTAAATTCACCAATCGTGTTGTAAAAAAAGGAACAAGTGTAAAATAGTATTTCAACAGCGCGAAGGCCAGCTGCTATACCCGCTGTACCACGAAGACTAAGATATTTCGTAAATGAAAAGAAACATGGAGCTAGCTGTATTTCTACTTGCTGTTCTCTATTTCTAGCATTTTTGTTCACTGTGGCAATTCAAAAGCATAGTGAAGAGCGCTGTTGGATGAACTTGGCTTTGGTAATCGCCTATAATAACCTAGGAATGCCGTTCCTTTCGGCATATGTGTTTTGGATTCCCGTTCTTGCACGGCTAACATCGTGAGGACAGAGTATTTAAACAGAAATATGAAAGAAAAGAAGTTTATGGTGCAAAAAACACTAGCTTTCCTGAATATAATCAGCAATCAAACCTCTTCTGCCATTACTACGTAAAATTGTCGTTGGTTTTCACGAACACATTGAGCTTGAAATTTCGAAGTGCAGGAAAAAGCGTGCTATACGTTACCTGCCTAAGATAGTCGAGCTCATTTCGACGGCTGCCCATGCAAAAATGCAAGTCGGCCAATTTTTCACAAATCTTCGCCTCGCAGAGGGATCGATGGCAAACCTAAACTCTAACGTGTTTCAAAATAGTAGCTCACCGTCCCATTGGTACAGCATGACTTGAAAGAACGAAGAAACCTTTTCCGACAGTTCGTTCTCAATTTCAACAATTCTGTGAATATGCAGAGCTGCAGTAGGCAAAACATCCTCAGCGATCAACGCAGGAATGTCAAGGATTAGCGCTTTTCTTACGAGCTGAGAGCACACAAAGCGAATCTGATATCTAGAAACACGCTATAAAATCACGAAAAATGACAAATTTTTGCATAGAAGTACTCAAGTATTAGACTCAAGAAATAATTGAAACTACGAACTGGATTGTTCTAAAATGGCAACATAGACTTTTTGACAATACGTCAAAAATAGGCAGGAAACAAGCCAGGATAAATTTTACCTAAATGTTGACCATGACGGCGTTTTTTGTGACCTATTAGGTGGATTACCAAGAGATTTCTATCCAACGACTTAAGGTACTCTAAACACATTTAATCAGTTTTCATTTTATATTTACCTGATTTCATTGAGAAAGTCGCGATCTCGACTAATTCCAGATTCGTACCAATTATTGACGTATTCATCAATAATCTGATCAAGTAAACTTTCGAGAGCCTCATTCACCGATGAAGGCACTAAAAGTTCTGAAACCACACGAATATTTAAATTGGTCATGACGGCACTTGTTTAGACCTCAAGTTAGTATGTCGTTTGATTGATAAACTCGCATGAGATTGTTACCAAAAACCCTTCATTGTGGCAAATGTTTCGACGTCTTAACCTTCTTCAAAGCCATAATGACCGAACCATATGTCCTCAGTGGTTGTATCGAAGTCGTATCGAGTAGAAACCAGTGATGTGCTACACCACATGAATGTTCATCAACCGCAAGAAAGATATGGTGGCAACCTTGTGTAAATGTACCAGTAATACGACATTATGTTGAGGTTGAAAGAAGGGTCAATAAAAATACGATCATTCCTACATTTCCACCCATTTCAGGGGACAAAATATGACCATGCAGCAACACACTACTATCTTACACAGATAAAATTTAAAAATTTCAACATGTATATGTGACCAGCCTCTAATAAAGGATTTTTAAAACAATCTAATGATGCCGAGATATTAGCGAAACTCCAGAACAGGTGGCCGCGGTGGGTATCGAACTTCCTTTTACACTATCCAGAAGCTAACGTGCTCACCACGTACCATGCCAGTCCTTCGTCTTGCTTGTCTCTGAACAAGTTTTCTATCTACCAGTACCCTCAACAATCACCCGCTATTTCTAAAATACTTTCATGGATTTTCTCTTTGGATCTTGCACATCTCAACACGATTTTCAAGCGGTTCTTCCACTTATGGATATTGTTCATAAAAGGGAGTTGTCCCTGCACGTTTGTTTGCACATCCCAGTTCATTTCGATCAAAATTGTTTCAAGCTGCAAATGTCATATGTATGATCCATTGTTCGAGCGACCAACTGTCAAATAATGAAGCGGGTAGCGCAGTGTAGAGCGATGCTGTTCGTCACAAGCATGATGCTGGTTAAACCTCGCCCTTGGACCACCGAACCTCACACCTCTCTGGAGACGAGAAATTGGTAAGACTTGTTTTGGGGACAGTTCATTGTAGCCCAACTAGGGACACTCTAGCGTAGTTATCCCATTACAGAAAAGAAGAATAGACTACACCAGCTTTTAGCAACATTCATTACGACGTCGAAAATCCTGAACGAAGATCTTCGTGGGTGGTGGGTGAGATGAAACGTATCGAATGTAGACAGTCCCCAAATCCACATAGTAGATCGATGATTAGTCGTGAAAAATACAATAGGATAATGAGTAATGATTTTCAAGTGACTTGAGGAGGCCCCAATAAGGCATTCCATCGTGCACAGTCGGGGACTTCTGCTCATCGATGCCACTCCAAATTTCCTCTCACTTGTGTAACACAGCGGATAACTGTCAAATCGCAGAGTCACCTTTCGTAATCAATCATCCCAAGCTACACTGCATGATATTGGCTTCCGATAATAAAATCACCAAAATTTCATGGCATGATGTAACTCTGTATATGGACTACAAAAATCGCTTCCTTTTTAATAAGTGGCTCAAGGCGTCAACGCGAAATACTTCAGCTAGGACAGAAGTGGTGACAACAATTCCAACGATGAGGAATTCGAGTGCAAAGGGTGGCCAGAGAAAAACCCAAACCAATTATGAAACCATGAAAACGTGTATTCGAGGGGACAAGCAGTGGCTTTGTGTAATCACAAAGGAAATTTGTAGTGAAGTACCACTCGCAAAATATTACCAGCCTAGTTGTCTTATCAACTGAATGAAAAACTAATTTTTCACCTACCTTTCCATGGAAAGCTTCTCAATTTTGAAGACGCAAGAGTGGCAGATTCAGCGAAGCGATGCGCTTTCGTTTCATTTGAAAACCACGTACAAACTAGTGGATATAGGAATCGACCATTAGAAGAGTTTGCAATCCAAGCTGCTATAGAAGCTCCGAGACAAAGAAAGAAGAAACAGCAAGCAATTGGAATTACACTGTAACTACCAATAATACACAAATTTGAATCGAAATATGTTTACCTCCACTTTTCTTTTTTGAAATCTTAAGTTAAAACGTATCGAGAACAAAAAGAAAAACAACGACATGGAATTCCGGAAACCAGATTTGCAGATTTCCAAGTGCCGAGAATTTTTAAAGACTTTTAGTGAGGATGGCAGAACAACATCAAAAACGATATTATAGCTCAACGTTAGATATCAAAAAGCCAAAAACCTACCCGAAACCAATATAAATTAGTACAACCATGAGTGCCGACAAATAAGCCGTTGTTCTCAAGCACGAGTAATGTTCGAGCACCTCTTTAGCATTATGAAGCTCCATTTATAAGGTTCGTTACATAACTGAAGAATGAATGGAAACCTTAACATTGAGGAGTAGCATGAGTATTAAAACAAAAGAAAATATCGCCACCGGAAAAACAACGGAAATGAAATTGATCCATAAGTTTTATAGAACAATATTTATCTCACAATAGAAAACTTTGCGGGTTAAAGCGACTTAACAAATTCACAATGTTAACACAATTCTCAAAAAAGTGAACTGACAGATTTTTCTGAAACCCTCTTGCGTTTCTTAAAAGCCTTTTGCCGACGAACATTCACAGGGAATTTTATTGGTTCCACCTGCAAAAAAGAGCGTAGTAAACGTTTGGCGGCTTATTAAAAACATTACAACTATAATTCACAACACTGCGGTAAATTTTAATCGAGCTAATTTTTGATGTGCAGACTTTACTCTTGGAGGGAGTTTCTATTTGCTTTTATCTTCCTCTGGAAAAATGTATAAAAAAGTCAGCTCATACTTTAACTCTTTGTTTCGAAGGTCGTTTTTCTTGCAAGCGATTGATTCATTCATTGAGCAGTTTGCGTGCAATAAGCTACATAGTGGCAACAACATTCGCTTTTCTGTTAATTCAGTGGTAACTAGCACTCTTGAGATACCGCTCTCAGGTAATCTTCCCCACAATCAACATAGATTTTCGCATGTAGGAAGGCGGGAGGCACAATAACAGTGATGCCGTTCATAAGAATCCCTGTGCTGGTTTCACTTCACACCGTGCTTCACAAGCCTCCCACCTCTAAGAGGTGTGGAGATTTGAATCCGACTTGTCTTGCATCAGCTCACTCCTTTCATTTAACACTGGTACCAGCACGGCACAGCTAACGACCTTCCAGGAAGAATTGACTCGATCGGTGTCCAACGACACTCATGAGGCAAAAATACTCAAGCAGCAACCAAACTCCCACGCAAAAGGTTCGAAGACCATAGTTCGAAGTTAGTTCGAAGATGGATGCAAGGAGACGAATCATGTGCAAGAAAATTTGGGACCAGTACAGAAGACGAGCAAATTGGTTTGTGTAAAACTTGTGTAAAACGCTCTCAATTCCTCAACTGCTCCAGGTAGTCGATTTGCTACGATTTGTAATCAAAAAGTCAGCATGGTAGCGAATCTATTAAGATGTCTAGTGCAACAGCACACACTCGTACTCACTAACATTTCATTATTACATTCATTTTTTCAACACTTCCTAACACCTCGATATGCCGTATTGATAAGTCGCCAACGTAATTAACGAATACCACTGAAACCATTCTAGATTTCAAAAGTAAAAATTTGCATATATTCCTATAGCAGCCCACTTACTGACGTTATTCCAGCAGTAAAATATACTGCTAGTATTGGAAACCATGGAAAGAGTGCACATACCAGTAAACAGTGCAGTTTCAAACGGTCAATTTTCAATTCAGTTATCTTACTGTTACTTGTATTCCTCTAAGAATTGCACTTAAAAAAATATAAAAAGGAGTATAGTTCACTCCATGGATACTTACTTGGATAGCTGGATGACCCGTCTTCACTGCTTGTGCGAGCCACAGCAAAACTTCCATTGTCCGGAGAATCGCTGCTTAGCGAATGTGGTTCCCTGGAGTCCTGAGGTCAACCAGGAGAAAATTTGTCCGAGGTCGTCATCACCACAGGCAGTCGCCGCCCCAGTGGATCAGAGGCAGATTTGCCATCATGTGACTAGTTTGATACTATGGCGGTGGTCGATCCTGGTACTGGCACTAGTTTACCCTTAGCTGGGCTTCTCGATGGATACGCCGGACTCCTTCTCAGATTGGTAGTCCTTACCAGGAGAGGAATCCTTCTGCTGTACATTTCAGCCCGACATTCAAGACCTCCAATCCACGATGAGGCGCTACCCCGTTGGGAGGAGTTCACCCTATGAGTTTTCTAAAATTGACAAATGGTGTACTAGTAGGTCGCAAGGCAACTTTGACCTGATGCCCAAATCCCCCTTGCACAGGATTACAGAATAAGTAGACTCACTTTGTAAAATCTAGTTCCTGCTATTCGTTTACCACGAAGATCAGCAGCAAACGGCAGTATGGGCATCCTTGTCGTTAGTCCTCTTCCACAGGGAGTGTAAGACCGAATGCGAATTAATGGACTTGAACTTGTGACTAGAACCCATCCAATGGATGAAAGAACAACATCAGCAACAGCTCCACCGTTCTAGAATTCTACGCTCGTTTTAGAATACAACCACTCTAAAAAAAATCCATCATAACTAACTTTTCTTCCACTTAGCTCAAACACGCAACTTTCCATACCAGGCCATTGAGAGAGCCTTTCCTTTCCACGTGGAACCACTAGAGCATCTGTACCAAGATTTTCTTTAAGAAACTCATCAACCTCGCATGTTCGCATACAATTCAAAGGAAGATCGTCACTCGCGAATGTCGTCAGCTGAAATGGAATTTTGTCACCATAAGATGATGACTACATGTGTAGCATTCAACATCCTTACCATTTTGTTAAAAGCCATAAAATACACGGTTGACATTGTTCTAAACTGTTAAAATAATTTCCCCGCTGACGGGTGATTGCTGTGGCAAAAAGATCGATAGAAATAGCTGAGAGACGTGCGAAACAAAGGACCCGCATGGTGTGGTCGTGAACGCGTTACTCCCTGGAAAGGATAATAGCGCGTTCGTTCCCCACCATAGACACCTGCGGTCCAGAGTTTTGCAAATATCTCAGCAACGTCGTGTTAAAATAATTGTTCCATAAACTAAACAACAGAACGTAAAGGAGTGATGAATGGGAACATAGGTGAAAACATCAGAGAAAAACAGCGAAGAAAAACTAGCTCGTAGAGGCAGTAAACGAGTGGAGGAACTCTGGTCCTCAAATAGAATAAAAAGGAGCTTGCCAGTGCTCAATATTCCTTTTACCACAAGTAGTTTAAAAAATTGAGAAACTTTTTGAATATAAATGTGGTAAAATCAGTCCACTTTCATTACAGACAGCCATACGAAGTTTTTAAAAATGAAAATTCGAAAACTTCTACACTTAGCGGTACGCTCTCACTAACCAGTAAGCGGTCATCTTTGGCACATTCTTCGACATCGACTCGGGCTACACCTCCAATTAAGAGTGAGTAGCCAGTGGGCACCAAAGCAGTACGCGGTTGCAGCAAATGGCGTGGTAAAACATGTATCAACTCATCCAGAGTAAACATGTTAAGAACCTGAACTAGGTGATAAATTGGGTTAATAACGGAATAACTCTGCAAATATCCAAAATTTAATGGTAAAAACGTGTAAAAATTGCCGTCAGTTTTAGATATACAAGGATGAAAAGAAAAAACCAAAAATAGAAAGAAAAAATGAAAAACCAGGTCAATTACCTGCTCAGTGTTTATCGTACCTGGTGTATCATAACACCACATTCCTTTTTTGAAAAGTTCATCTTGCAGTGACCATCTAAAAACAGTTCTTTTTTGTACTAATACCTACATCCAGTGCACATATTCCACATCTACGAGAACTGGTTTGTTGCTTTGATTTCAAAACTGGTTAAGGTAATGGAAGCAAACAAATCAAACGAAATAAAAGAAAGAGAAAACTACGTAAAACGCCTTACCTACTGGGAGTCTGATCTTCTTCCAAGGGATAATCTGAAAGCATTTTATTAACGGGCACTGGTTGCAGCTCATCATCCTTTTCCTGCAAAGGGATCTTGAAGCAGTTTTCCAAATCCAAACGCTCTGTCTAGTTATAAACAATGAGTATCTGTTTTGAAAACAAAGAATGACCTTGAATGTGTTCTGAATCGTACCAAACAACACTGCGTACTTGGGATCTTTGGTATCTTGGAGCAATAGTTTTCTAAAAGAATCCTTTTTGATAATAGAACACTTACGAGCTTAACAAACTTAAGGAACCGATGAATGAAAACTGTTAAAGAACAGAATCCCCTTATAGTATTGAAGGTGTGCATTATTGTTCTAGAAAATGTCCCCTTAAATTTAAATTGGAACTAAATCACAATGTTAACTTTTTATTTATTGCATATTACAGTTTTTCACGGTATGCTGAGATATTTGCAAAACTCCGAACCGCATGGAGAACGAACGCACTATTACCCTTTTCGGGGGATAACGCGTTCACCACCACACTATGTGGGTACTTCGTTTCGCCTATTTCTCAGCTAGTTTTATTGATCAGTGCCGTCAGCAATCACCCGCCAACGCGATTGATCTGGAAAGCCCAGATCGGCAATGAACCCAGTTTAGCTAAGGCTGCAGTCTAAATCACAATGTTAACTTTTCATTCACTGCCTTTTACAATTTTTCATAGCAGTGCTTATCTGTGACTCAACCACAGAGCTAGCTGAGAGACAGGTGAAACGAAGGACCCGCATGGTGTGGTGGTGAACGCGTTAGCCCTCGGAAAGGGTAATAGCGCGTTCGCTCCCCATCGCAGGTACCTGCGGTCCGGAGTTTTGCAAATATCTCAGCATCATGGTGGTTAAATTGGAAGTAAAGCTAAGTTCTAAAACATAATTTTGAAGATAGGGTATGTAAGACAGTGCTAGTGACGTGGATCATCACGAGCACGGTGTTGGTCCGATCCCGCATCGAGCTTACGAAGCCTCTTATCCTCTAGGGACAGGAAATTAGTACCTGAGTTGGCCGAGTCCAACTTTCTCCCTCAAATCAACGCAGGAAAGCACTAGCACAGCTATTCCAGAACTGTAAGAAGGATCGATTTGACCAGCATTTAATGACATCCACAAAGAAAACAATTCCTACCCAACAGCTATCGCAGGTGACACCCCTCTGGAGTTGAGAAATTAGTAAAACTTGTTTGGCGACAGTTCACTGCAGTCCAACTGAGAACCCCCTAGTGTAGCTATCCCATTATAGAAAAGAAGAATCGACTAAACCAGCTTTTAGCAACATTCATTACAATGTCGAAAATTCTCAATGAAGGTCTTCGCGGATGGTAGATGAGATTGAACGAATCGAATGCAATGCGAAAAGTGCTGGGATCCGCACAGCGGATGTGAGACACGGTTCGTTCAGAGAACTACTTTTTCCCAGTAGGTTAGTAGGTTGGGAAGTCTACACAGAGCTGGAAAAAAGTTCTGCGTATGCAATTTCCTTGATATTCTTGATATGTAGCGTCGACGAGAAAGCATACAAAAAAGGATTCGTGGGCCACAGAGGTTTGGAATTCCATCGTATTGAAATAATCAGACGTCCACCTTGCTATAAAATGTTCTTGCAGGTTCTAAAATCCTCATTTTAATCGGTGAAATATATCGCTAAGAAAGACATGATTGTTCGAAATTGAAGCCTAAACTGTTTTCGAGGTGTAAGGGTGCACGATGAAGGTAAAGCGGTTCTCACATATTATGCTGAAATTGTCAGTACTTTAAATATAATAACATTACTACAGAACCACAACGTTATCCTTTTATTTGTTGCCTATCACAATTCTTCACTTCACGGAATGATGGGAAATACAACCACAATAATGCTGAGACCCGTTTCTGAGGTTAACGCGCTCACCACCACATCATGCGAATCGTTCGTTTCGCCTGTCTCCCATCTAGCTTTTTTTTATCTACCAGTGCCACCAGGAACTATTAAAAGATCATTTCAAGCAAAAAAATTGTAGAAAACGAGTATCATTGTCAAAATCAAATAACTCATTTAGATGGCATTAGTTCCATAACTTACGATGGCATGTAGCGAAGTGGTTAGAGGCCCCTTGCAACACATAGGCTCGACACCGCACCCCAAGCTTAACGAGGCTTAGAGTTTTACTCTTTATTTTTTTCATGGTTTCATAACCTATTTAAGAAATACTAAGACCATATTTTATGCCGTATAGCTACTGTGATCACACAGAGCGCATTTATGGATGGCACATTCCAATAAAAAGTAACCCAACCTGCTGTACATCTCCTTCTTCAGCCATGCTCTAGTTTGAAGCAATCTTCGTCGGCGAAGTTCAAGACGATACGTGGTGGGCCTCATTACAGGAAATTTCAATAAGGACAACTGAAAAAATGTTCTGAGGACTCCTCCAACAACAAAAAACTAAAGTTGAAGTAACTGTACTGAAACAACATATGTCAAGAACGAGAAGTTTGAATTACAGGAGAGTAAAGAACATGAAGCAACAAAAAAAGGCTATCGAATGCAAGTAAGAAATGAGAAAAAGAATTGGCTACCAGCGTTGTATGGATTGAATAAGAGATAAAAATGGAGACGAAACGATGCGAGAAAGTAATATGAGGACAGAATGAAGTAAAGCTATAAACTGTGAGGCAGTTTGGGTGCCATGTAGAAATCAAAAGATGCAAAAAGAAAAAAATAATAGAAAAGGAGAGGCGAAAACATATATAAACATATAAAACACAAATACACACCGTTGTTCCAGGCCATATAGAAGTCGTTGCACGTTCAACAATATCAATTGCATGAACCTTGCATAGATCTGATTGCAATAAAGCATTGAACAGACTCCTAAAAGCATTTGCTAACAAGCGTCTATACCAAACAAATAAAAGGATCCCTGAAGAAAAAAATGACATCATAATATTGAACAAAAGTATTTTACATGGAAACACTGAACTGAGTTGCGCAAAGTTTGTGACAGGCATACGAAACATAAAGCTCTGAAAGATAGCTCTCGGTGTTGAACAACCCTGAGAGATGCGCCAAGTATTCGACTTTATTAAGCATCGTTGGAGGTGAACGAATGCATATCTGGCCTTTACTCGTGGCAGTTTACCGATGTATCGAGGCACTGCTGCTATCCACCAAGATAAGTCTGATACCAATTTGCCGATAAAGGATGAATGAAAGTCTTGGTGAGCATAGGGCGCCGCAGTCGACCACATGAGTATTGCACATCACCCTCGACTGTTGCTCCCTACGCTCACCCTAACTCGCACTTACACGAAATATACTTCATGATATACATGTTCTTATAAACTGTCCTTTCTACCTGACACGAGGTTGGTATAGGTAGAACATCTATAAACAAAGGGCAGTTCGTAGGAACACATATATATAAGTATGCTGATTATTATGCAAAGGTTTACATAAAATCGTTCTTTTGAGCATAATAATTCGCCATTCTAAGAAGGAAATTCATAAAAAATGACAAAAAACCTACGACTTTCCTGCATTCGTACATCCGATTAAATATATGTCATTGCGCACGCCGAGTTTGATATTAGTGTACTTCAAGTAGATTTCCTTCAATACATTGCATTTCCTTTTGAAACAAAGTTCGAATTGGAGCTGTAAATGAAGTGCAAAAACTACATAGCGAACTTACAGTAATTAGATCTTCAACACCGTATCCAGTTTTTGCACTAACAAGAGCCGTGTGTAAAATAACGAACTGCTCCCGAAATCCGGCTTTAGTGATAGCGTCCTCAACAACTAATTTGAATCTCTTCAGGTATCCGCATCGGGCATCCGGTGGTAGAAGATCGATTTTGTTTGCTTTAAAAAACAAACAAACGAGTAATACTAACTGTGGATGAAAAAAGTGTTTTCCCAAACAACCCAAGTAAGGGCTTCTCATTAAAATCACAATCTAAATAAGTTAAAATCTCATGAACTCAACCCTTTTGCTTGCTGCCTTTTTCTTTTTAATGGCAGGGTATGTTGCGAAATATAGCTCGTATATAATGCTGAGATATTTGCAAAACTCCGGACCGCAGGTGTATGCGGTGGGGAACGAACGCGCGCTATTGTCCTCATACACCTGCGGTCCGGAGTTTTGCAAATATCTCAGCATTATATACGAGTTGTAAAATCTCATGTTTCTCTGCTATATTTTTCTGCTACTTCGGTACGGATAATAATTGTACCATCAACGATTTTTGAACAAGAGGACACAGAATTATCCCATAGGAAAACGGGAAACTAAATATTTCCTAGCTGATAACAAGGTTTAGTTCTCTACTTATTTATGATATGATGGCGCCACTACAAACTGTACAGGAAACACCGGAAACATCCACAAACTACAGGAAGTCTCCAAAGCATCCACAAACTCACCTACAACAATCATCGGTTTTCGTGGCCCAATTATACGTGGCAGTTGACGATGGATACTTCCTGGGATGTCAGTAACGTCTACTATTAGTATTACAAGGGCTTCGCAATTCAGCCGCAAACATGACATCATCGACTCGTAATTTACTTCGCAGACGTTCACATTCAACTGAAAAACAAACAATACAAAAGAAAAATATAAAGAAAAAAATATAAAGAGTTTTAGAATGGATAGTCTAACCTAATGAACTAGTAGTTAAATAAACACAACGATATCAAGATTTGAACAAAACTCGGAACTTCAGACACGCTTCCAACACTTCCAGGGGCTCATGTGCTATCCAGAGCACCAACCTAAGCCCTTGCTTTGCCTTTCTCTCAACCACCTGGGCTACCCAGCTTTACCTATTTTTCAGTACCTTTGTGGTTGTGTTCTACACAATAACCAGTCGTGAAAAAAGAATACGTAATAAATAAATAATTAGAAAATAATGCAGATAATTCTTTCTACTTCTGTTTAGCAACACGAAGTGTTATTTTATTTCTTTATTTACGTACAAGCTGAGGTTTCGGGAGATTTCGCCTTCCTTAGAGTCTGGAAAGGTCAAGTTGACAGTAATCTATTCGGCAAAACACCTCCATAACCAAACAGAGAAAATGCCGAACCAAAATTTGAATCACATTGAGCACAAACTCTTTGCACACTCACCGCTTTCTATAAGTCTTCCACTAAATATTTAACGCGGAGACCAACCGCACAGAGTTCACATGAAAACATAATGTGCCCATCTTATTGGAATAACAGGTTTATATCCTGTCCAATATAACGCGTGATAATGAGGCATTCCTCCCTGCGGTTCATTTCCGGATTCTCGGAATTATTCCAGAACGCTTCTAGAGCTTTGTTCGCTTGTGTTCTCGATTCTTGCGTGAGGATCGTAACCCCTACTTCAAAACCTTCTCCGTTATGTCTCTGCGTCCTATGCGTGACTAGTGGGGCATTTGGCTTAAGTTTACCGATTAGGTGTTCTTTTATACGGACACAGAGTGGTCTACCCCTTTCGCAAACGTATTCGTACCCATAAGCTTTACAAGAGATCAGATAAACCGTACCCGAACTCATAAAATCACCGTCTCTACCATTAGGGCAAATTATGCAATTTTGCGTTGCACGTAGACGATCATACAGGCGGTTACGAACTAGCTGGCGCCTAAGAGTACTCGGTGGCAATTCAACTACGTTTACCGAATTCTTTCGACCCTCCCCTTTTAAGCAGCGCTTTATAGTTGCACGTCCATCATTTGAGATGAAGAGTGGGATAAACGGAACTTTTTTATCGCTAGAGTTGTCGTTTGGAGGCCAAGGATTCCCCCTACACCTATCCCGAGCTACAGTTTCGTAGCCATTGGAAATGGCTATTCCCCGCGTCAAGTTCCGGGACTCCTCTCTCTGCTCTTAGCTGTTCGAAACATGCTTCTCACAGACGCCCTTTTCGTGTGAGAGGAGAGGTAGTGAACCAAGATGTTTTTACTACTTGGCTTTCGATACCACTTCGTAATGTAGCCGTTTTCTGATAGGCTAATTTGCACGTTCAGAAATGGAAGCCAGTCTTCTTTTGGTTTCTCTCGGGTGAATTTAATATACTCTGACTGCTCGTTCAACAACTCGAAACATCTGTCAATTTCCTCTTGTGTTGAACAAATGGCCAAGCAGTTATCTATATATCTACAGTAGAGTAACGGACCGAGGTCGATTACTGGTGCGCGTTACGAGACGAACCACGAACATTTGGGTGTTCGTTAGATGGGCTGGAATGTACCTTAACAACTGAGTAAGTATTAGGGCTACTAACTACGTTATTTTATCCGTTGGTTCGTCCACGCAGCTAATGACAGGTCTGACCTTGAATAACGATGGATCGGTAGACCCGAGATCATCGCTGGGTACTAACTTATGGGTTTTGATAAGTACAGGACGGGATTTGCTGGTAAGTTAACTTTGAGATGAGAGATAACTGATGGTTTTAACCCAGCCGCTCTTGCCACTTTAACCCATTCTTTGTTTAACTTTCGGTATTGACTTCTAAATTCCTTCTCAGACGACGGACGATAAAGGGAAGCATCTTCAAGGTGCTTTTCCGTTATCTCAACATTTAACTGATGGGGAATTACAACGAACTCCCCACCCTTATCACTAACTGACAGTCTTATGTTTTTCGATTTTATCAGCTCACATACCTCCTGCATATCACGTTTTCTATTTCAGTGAGATTGGAGCAGTATCTCTTTGCGCGGTGATTAAGGAATTTGAAAGTTTCATTCGTAAACGTCCGAAATTTAACGTCAATGCAGATATAACTACTTTATTACTTCTAACTTCAAGGCTTATTTTGAATGTGTCTCATTCCATTTCACCTACTTTATTCTTTCTTTACCTATTAGTGCCTTATCCATTACCGACAGACATATTTTTACTGACGATATTGCAATTCCCGGCCCAGACCCAATGTTTCAGATGGGCCGGTTCGCTTCTGCAGCTAACGCAACCCAACTACCATAATACTCGCAGGCGTAGGCTCAAGTCCCGAGTTTTGACGATGCACCGACTTTTCGAGTTTTAGGCCGATTTCTCGAGGTTTCGACCGATTTTTCGAGGTTTTAGCGATTTCTCTGTTTTCTTCGGTTTAGGCTTAGGCGCTGGTTTGGCGGTTCGGCGACTTTTCAAGAGTTGAATGATTTCGGTGATTTCGGATTAGACTTGGGGAGAACTCGTGCACGAGTACAGTAGGTTTAGGCTTAGTCCTAGGCTTATGCTTAGGCTCACTGTTTTGGCGCTCCGGCGACTCTTTCAGGTTTCGGCGAACGTTCAAAATTTGGGCAAATCCGTTGTCCGTGAGGCTCAGGCTCAGGTGCGCTGTTCCGAGATTTCGGTGATCTTTCCATTTTCTTCTGGAGAACTCATCCGCGTTACCGAAACTCGTCTGCGAGTACTGCGCCGCACTGCCAACACGTTCGGCGCCCTTAAATTTGCGTTTCGGCGACTATCGTGGGTTTCCGATGGGTAAATAAAATTGCATTACTTGGTGACATGTGTACTTCCTCTCTCTCCGTGAGGCTCAGGTCGCATCAATCCAGCGTTTTCTGGCGTTTTTCCGTCGTTTCGGCGATTTTTCGACTTTTTCTGGACAACTCGTTTGCGCTATCGTCACTTGTGTGAATTAATTAAAGTAAACCAACTCAAAAATTATAGCATTAATTCTAAGAATTAACAAAATACACAGGAAAAATACTGCTACTACGGATATAAAAACAACAGACAAACAACAAACACTCCTCACCAGAAAACTGTAATGTTTTAATAAGTGGCATCGTCTGCACAACACCGTCTGAGGAAGCTTCTTGCGAGCTGCTTTCTCTAATAGCTCCTCAGGCAAGAATCCAGGAAGTGAACTACTCTAAACACTTTTTTAAAGAAAGGATGTATGGAAACTGAAAAAGGCTCGACACTGATTCGCACCTTACAATGCAAATGAGCACCACAACCACTACAACGCTTGTCAATTGCTTCCCTGAGTTGGTTTACAGTACCAATTTGTTCAACGTCTTCGTAAAGCGCTCCATTGTCATCAGCATAATCAAGTACCTAATTATAGTATTAAGATACTTTAAGTTAATCAGTGATATCACAAAGAACGAAACATTCCGGCACGTTAACAAACCTCGTTGCTTTGACAAGGAAGCTGAAATTCAATATGTTCAACCGCGTCAACCGGACCGAAACGTTCACGAGACGACCTAAAACGATGGTTAAAACTAAAAATACTCCGCTATAAATGCCACTTTATAGATTTTATGCTAAAAATATCCATGTCGATAAACGAGACACTCCTTAGTTATAGTTTAATGGCAGAATAATAGCAATAGTAATAATATTAATAATGATGATAATAACAATAATAATAATAATAATAGTAACAACAATGCTAAAATAAAAGTCAAAGACTCCTTGCGTTTTAAAAAAATTTACCACATAGTTGAACTACTGAATTTGGAAAAAGGCTATTTACACGTCGGAAAAGTAAACAATGTGTGTCTCTATTGCTATTACTTACTAGTTCAACTCAATTTAAAGCTAACACAATTCAATTCAACTATAGGTAACACCCACCAAACTTATTTTGAACTAGTTCACGAAGTTATTTGGCTTTGAAATCTACTCACAATGTTATTTCGTCATCGGGAAAATCTGTAGTGGACCCGAGTATGTAGTCATCCATGTAAACATCACCACTGACAAAGTACCCACGATCCCCACGATTATTTCCTAAAAAAAGAGTTAATTAGAAATATAGTTAACAAACATGGCTTAACAAATGTATTGCTTATAGCCTTTTCTATTGGATCATTACCAAATGTGACTCTGCTAACATGCTTTCATCTGTATCACTGCAGATTTACTCAAATGTTTGCAGTAAGTCTCTTTTCTTTGTGACATACCAAAACAATTCACTAGGTTCGTTTCGCTTTAGCGAGCCATCAAGAAATACAACCATTCGTAATCTTCCGGTTGTGCGCTTGACATTCCGTAGAACTTAATGGCTTACGGTTCCCAAGAAGACGAAACCGCCAAAACATCAGCTATAGTGAATAAATACCGTATTAACAAAGTTGTGTTTTCTAATCAGGAAAACAGTGAATTACTGGCCACAAAATCAAAGCCGTTCATTTTTACCGCCTTTGACGATTAATACCCATAGGAAGTTTCCCGGTATCTGGGAGTTTTTAGGATTTCCCAGAGAAGATCCTATTTATGGGCGACAATTCCGAGCATGTACTCGATATTAAAGAAATATCTCTAGTTTGTACTGCAGTTAAGGCAATGATTTAATGATAGACAAACTATATAAAATACCTTGAAATTCTGCTTGCTCCATCGATTTTGAATTTCCATTACAGAACACATTCTCTTCTAAAGGTTTGGCCGCTAGTGGAAATTCATAAGAGGAAAAATTCTCAGATGATGATGACTGAATAACTTGCTCAAGTTCTCTCTGCTGCATCACTTTTGCATAACGACTTTCATTCCTGAACTCGGTTTCTATCGAAAACAAATTACTAGCCTCCAAATGCTTTCCCTCAATCCGAAGGAAAAAAATATGTGATGGTAGCTTCTAACTAAACTCGCAAGACACGAACTTGCATATTACTTTCGTAAAACTTCACGGACTCGTTCTTGATTGAGATTTACCATATTTGATAACTTTTCTCAGTTACTTTCAAAAATCCAACTACGTGACCCAGGAATGCTACTCACACTATCAAATTATCAACAGCGATTGAATCTGAAGAGAATTCACTTCTCGCCACCGTTACACCTCTGTTCTTCTGCTCTCGTTCGTATTGTGCTAACCGCTTGTGAATCAAGTCAATCTGTAAAATACAACCGAAGTAAACCCAAAAAATAGGAAATCGATAAGGTCCATTTAAAGCCTACACGGTACCTGAGAACTCCGACTGGCACCTTTGGTTGCAAAAGTGATCGTCTGCACAGCTTTGAGCATACTAGCATGTTTAAATGTTTTAAAAAGGCATGCAACAATATCAGATGGCATATCTCCAATATAATAGCTTAAAAAATGCTGTCACTAGGAAGCTGAAGTTGCCTGTCCTGCTAAAGAAAAGCTTTACTGAAAAGTGAAAGTTGTACATTAAATGGCCCTAAAAAGAATAGCTCACGGTTCATATTACCTTCAAATTCACTAGAAATTCCTGCCCTTTCCGGTAGAAAATGATCCCCAAAGTCGTTTTCAACAGCCTTAAATATTAAAAAAGTATCAAAGAACACGAAAACAAGAAAGCAACAAAAAATGGGTTAAAAAGAGTTCACGAATAGTTGCAGGAGGTTACACTACTAATGAAATCTCAGTGCACCACTGAATGCAAAAATTATGATAATGCACTTCGTATGATCTCTTAGCGATGAGTTCTAAATTCTTTTGGAAAACTCGAGCGCCAATAACCTATAGTGACAATATTATTAATTTGTACAAGAGCTGTTGCTGTTTTTGTATTGCTGATAGTTATCGGCTAACCGAAGTTGTCAACGACCTATGAGAGCAATTACCGTACTTAAAGCTCCTACGCCGTATAACATAGCGTCGACCATCAAAGCTCCATCACCGATAACGTTCTACTGATTCATTGCTGATTAGTTGTATGTTCCCGACAACCAATGAAAAATCTGGTCGTACGAATCTTATGTCCAGACTATTAATTTAGCAACTAGAATGCTTTACCACTGCCGTGTATGGATCAGAATTTGATGAACACTACGCCGAAATACTTTCATATGCCAACCTCTACTTCCTCAAAAATACGGTAGCCGCCAAACCGATAGATATTCAACACCAGAACAACAACCACAAAAGTGGATAGCGAAAAAATGATAAGTGATGGGATTGCAATAACCCAATATTTCGCAGGCACGTAGGTTATACCTGAACAGAATCCTTAACGACGCCATTAAATTCAAGTAGCAAATACCTCATCTATAGAAATTCTCAATGTCCTCACCTAAACGCTTTAAAAGTGGTGTCGGAACAACGGCCCACAGAATATACAACGTCAAGAAACAGATAGACGATATATAAAGAGCAAAACCATATATGCCTGTAACAAGTAACGACGATGATAAAATCTATCCTTTACTAATGCCAGATAGATAAAAGTAGGAGAAACGGACCACGAGCAGGTAGTGGATTTGGAGTATGAATGTCTTCCACAGCTTCACGTGTTGGCATTAGCCAACTAACATTTATACAATTACTACAAATCAGACCCTCAAATGTACACAAAACAGAAAAAAAATGACAACAGAAAACGCCGTACAACAAAATGTGGTATGATATGGACCGGATCCACTTTCTAGTAGTCACATTTAGTCGAGTACCTATTACTTTATACAAATATATCTACATCTTCAAGGTGTTAACAATAATCGTCACATAATGTCCAGATGTAATCAGTTACGGACTCGTAGCAGTAGCATCTCACCGGTTAGTGCTCATTTCCATTCATCATCCGCAGTATCGTGACCTTCCCTTTGTCCACCATATCCATCTTCATCATCCTTCCCAAAGGATCCCACTCGCATTTTTGAAGGACCGTCAACAGAGGTCACCCCAGCAATAGCTAAATAAACAATTCACTCTATACAAAGAAAAAAATCAGCATGACCTTTTCACAAATTGTGAATTAAGTGCTTATCAGCTTATAGCGTTGACCAACTCACTTTACTAACTAGACTATCTGTTGTTCTCTTTTTTACAGCAATAATGAGATTGATATTCAGCACACCTTTATTTCCTTATAAATATAACATATACAACACAACAGTAGCTGACTTTCCGGCAGTATCGCCTTCTTCGGCGCCTGGAAGGGTACACGAATATGTAATTTATTAGGTCACAAAAAGATGAAAATTTGAACAATAATTACACGATTACCGGCTTCTCGAAAAATTCATCGTTTTTTACCCGCCTTCCACCGAGGAAGAACAGCCACTGATGCTTAGAGTCGCATATAGTTGACTACTGCACCACCCCACATCAAAAACCAGTTCTGAGAGATGGAGCTAGATCACGAGTTATTTCAGGGCATTCTTCCCTGCTATTCACACTCGGTTTTTTGGAATTTATACAAAAAGCCTCGAGAAATTCGCGCGTTGGTGTTTCAGTCTCCCGTGCGATGATAGCGGCTTTTAGATCAAAATCTTCTCCACTATGTTTTTGCATCCTATGCGTGTCTAGTGGCCTGCCTTGTTGTGATTTTCGTTTGCCATCTTGGTGTTGTTTTATGCGGATACATAATGGTCTGCCCGTTTCGCCAATATATTCGTCTCCGCAAGTACCACAAGAGATCAGGTATATCGTACCAGAACTCATGCAGTCACCGTCTCTGCCGTAAAGGCAAATTACGCAATTTGGTGTTTCACACAGACGGTCATATAGGCGGTTACGAACTAACTGACGACAAAGAGTATTCAGTAGTATTTCAATTGACGCTCCCGATTCCTCTAGATCTGCCCTCCTTAAGCATCGCTTTATCGCTACACTTATTTCATCACTAATTAAGAGCAAGATAAACGGGATTTTGTTTCGACCAAACTGTTCGTTTTGGGGCGTCGCTTTCCTTCGAAACTTATCTCGTGGGGTTACCATTTCGTAACCAGTAGCTATTTACCAACGCAGGTCGCGGGATTCTTCCTTTAGTTCCCTGGCTGTGCACACAAATGTGGCTGTTCGAAGCATGTTTCTCACAAGCGCCCTCTTTGTGTGTGAAGGGTGGGAAGGAAGGAAATGAACGAGGATGTTCTTGTTACCTGGTTTTCGGTCCCACTTTTTCATGTAACCCCTACTTGATAGGTTTATTTGAACGTTTAAAAGCCGAAACCAGTTTTTTCTCGGATTCTCTCGGGTGAACGTAATGTACTCAGACCACTCGTTCAATGGTTCGAAGTATTTGTTCATCTCCTCCTGCATAGAGAAGACTCCTGGGTTTTTCGAGAAACCAGTGATCGTGTAATTATTGCTCAGATTTTCATCCTTCTGTTCGTGTTGTTGAAGCCTTTGACCCAGTAAATTACATATTAGTGTACCCTTCCACGCTCTGAAGAAGGCGATACTGCCGGAAAGTCAGCTACCGTTGTGTTGTATGTGTTATACTTGTAAGGAAGCAAAGGTGTGCTGAATAACAACCTCGCGATTGCTGTAAAAAGAGAACAACAGATTTATAATCCCATGTCCAGGTTAATAGAAAGTCGACCCTGAGAACTATTAAAAGATATACCAGCTAGACTAACCATATTTTTATTAACATTGACACTGGCATCACATATGCTCCTGTTTGATGTGTCCTACTATCCACACTCCCATTTGTCGTGTTTAAATATGCTCAAATTTAGCGGAATTTATTAAGTGAACCCTACAGAAAAGCAGAGACGAGACCAAATATTTCAATATAACCTTTTCTCCTTGCCTCCAGTGCTTTTGCTAACGACGCCATCAAATCATTACCACGAGATGATTTGCTCTCTGACAACGCTGAAGAACTAAGTGATTCACTTTCCTAAAAAGCGAACATGGAAAGCAGAGGATTCTAGACACAATGACCACGTGAAAACTGAAAAGTAACCAACCACTTGACGACGAGAGGAACCTATGCTCTTTAACTTAGCTTTACTGGCGCCGCCAGCAGCACGAATTGCAGCCATTAGATCGGACCTGTAAACACCAAAAAAGAATTATGAGTACGATTGAGTGAGAGAACTGTAAACCAAACCTATCAATTGAAGGTGTCGATGAGGATTGCAGAATTGGAGAAACAGCAGGCAACAGCATGATTGGAGGAGGTGGTGGAGGTTCTGGATGTGTTGTGAGTGATGGTGGTAGTGTGAGATGTGAAGGCGGTGGTGGTGGAGGTGGGGGTGGTGGTGGAGGAGGACCACGAGGAGCAGAAGTTTCGTTTGGCACTACCACTTCAAAAATCGCTGGTTCTAAGGATGGCACGGTCTCAGCAGAAGGGTATTCCCGTCCTTCAGCATTATGACTCGATTTCGAAATCTTGCAGCTTGGAACTAAGTTTGCTGAAAACAAATGTAGATCTTTTCCCTCAAATCTACCAACTTCCTAAGCTTGTAGATAAATACTAATCAAATTCAAAAAAAAAGCAAATACACAACTGAAGATAGTTCAAACGCTTGGAAGATGGAAGTTAGTAATAAACAAGCACTTAAAATGTTGTTTTCAAAACAATTTCCATAATTTCTTTAGAAACCTATATACATTTGATATTAACCAACATTTATCCGCAGTGGTGTCGTGAGGTCCTTTAAAATCATAGTCATTAAGCACATTCAATTTTTCGTCTGCAATTTCAAAGGAGGCGAACGTCGATGGCGCGACACCATAATCCGACAACGTCAAATCTTCAGCAATTCCTAAGTATAAAATGCTGCAATTAAAATCTAGAATACAATATTACATTCTTACGGATAAGAAAAAAAGGGAAGATTCGCGCTGATTAATCCCTGAAAGATGCGTTATGCGTTTGATTTCATCAAGGATTAGTGGAGGTGATTAGATGCATATGTGGCCTATAGAAGGACATGCGGTGATCTACTCAGGTATCACTTAAGTGCTAGTATAGCTCCAGACAAACCTAGCACCGATCTGCTGATCCTAGAGAGATAAAAGGTTGTTAATGGGACTGCGACGAGAAATCGAATAAACGAGCAAACGTGTATTTCACGGCGCCTTTAACCATTGCGCTATTCTTATAACTGGATTAATACCAGAGCTCAGCATTCATTTCTGTGAAATCACAAATCTAACAAAAGAACCTGGCAAGTCTGGGAGAATATCAGGAAGATTTAGATCTTCAATAGGAGCTGATTCAGGTATATATTCAAGCGGATCCCTCACTTCACCATAAGTTCTATCAATAGCCGATGCATCGCATATAGCGTGATCACTGAAAAAATGGTATCGAAGCAAAGATCTTAAATTTTAACATGAAACGCAGTAATACCCTTCCAACGGTTTACCGCCTCATCGTCAGTAGGTGTTTCTGGATGTCGGGCTGCGATATACAGCGGAGAGATTCACCCTCCAATATCTCTCAAGCTGAGAAGTCCGGAGCCGGAGCTCCCATCAGGAAACCCAGCTAAGATAAGAGTAAACCAATACCATGATTCACCACCGTTCTGGTATCAAAATAATCACATGGTGGCGGTTGACCTCGGGACTCCAGGAAACCACAATACCCAAGCCAGCAAAATTTCGAAAATGGGAATTACGCCGTAGACCGCAAATCCAGTGAAGACGAGCCATCCAAGTATCAAAGTGATAGAGTAATTCAGGTCTTACACCCACCCGTTGATAATTGCGCCTTTCCACTTCAAAAATGGGTATTTTGGTTGATAGCGAACTTCATTAATTGGGAGATAAACCGTTAAATGATACAGATCATTTCCAATAAAAACTTTTCACTTCCCAATGAGAAAGTTCCAAGTTTTGACGCGCATAAAACATATTTTCTACAGTCCTTTTCCGTCCAGTACAGACTATCAACGCCGTTTAGTAGCTTAATTAACGTTAAAAGGAAAAGTACCCCGAAACGACATCACTCCTTTCATGGCAGACGAATTCGATTCGCTTAGATGATTTATTTCCAAATACAAGCTCATCCGTACCGCTATAAAACATGTCAGCGAACGACACAACTTTCCTTGGGACTTGTTTATCTGAAACAATAATCAAGAAAATAAACCAATCATTGAACCATTCTGTCATATATGTCACATGAACACAAAACCTTTCAGAGAAATATCTGGATTTTTTCGCAACAAATGACTCGGAAGATAGAATCGCTTGCGCTCTTCCAGCTCTTGTTCCATATCTACGACATATGGAGGTCTCAATTTCGGCTTGAACACATCTAGGACTCAACAGTAGTTAGTGAAAAATACAACATAACACAGACTGTAATGGGAGCCTGATTAAGATGAAATAGATATCATTCTTGTAGATGGAACTAGTTTAGTAATCAAAAGTAGTAAGTTAATGGCAGAGTTTGCAAAAAAAAATCTGTTGTTAAATCTAACCACTCTAAAAGAGTAAACAGTCGGTTCTCCCAGCCAGCACAAGATGAGTCCAAAAATGAACCACGGAGTTCTTAGGGAAGAAGTTTATTTTCCCAGTTGTACTGGCTTGTCAATTATCTACAACTTATACATGGTGCCATGCTCTGACCAACAACTGAAACACTACTACAAGGCAAGCTAAGGATTTCGGTGTTGAACCGGTTAACACTTGAATACCCGGAAAGGGTGTTTCGCGGGTTCGAATTTGGCCTACGGTTTGAGTTTTGCAAATATCTTGGCACCATTGTGGTTGTATCACACATAATACCCCGCGGTGAAAAATTGTAATAGGCAGTACATAAAAAGCTAACATTATGATTCCGACTACAGTTTTCAGCTCAGTTTTTTCAGAAATAAAAGGGTATAACATTGTGATTTCAACTACAGCCGCAGCTTAACTGGGTTCACTGCCGATTTGGGCTCCTCAGATCAACCCCGTTGAAGGGTGATTGCTGATGGCACTGATCGATAGAACTAGGTAGGAGACAGGCGAAACGAAGGATCGCATGGTGCGGTGGTGAGCGCGTTAGCCCGCGGAAACGGTAATAGCGCTTTCGTTCCCCACCGTAGGCACCTCCGATCAGGAATTTTGAAAATATCTCAGTATCATTGTGGTTGTATCACACATTATATCCAGCCGTGAAAATTTGTAATCGGCAGTGAATAAAAAGCTTACATTGGCTATTACTACTTTTAACGGGAGCGAATGATGTGAAATACAACTGCAATGATACTGAGATATTTGCAAAACATGAACCCCAAACCAGGTCGAAGCGCGACTACCCATCGAAAAAAAAAAACAGAAGCGAATATCTCAGCATCATTGTTGTTGTATTTCGCATAATACTCTATCATGAAAAGATAATAACTGGCAGTAAATAAAAAGTTATATATTGAAACACAATTGTTTATACTATCAAGTTGCCCAGGATACTAAGACTTAAGGAAAAATTATCATGTTCATATACAACCCTCCTCATATAAACAAATGATAAAGAAACAACAAAGCAAAACCCTGCATCTCCCTATTCAAACGATTTCTAAACACCTTAAAAAATTTTCTTAAGTAAATCCTTATAAATGTCACCATTTTTGCCGTTAGTGACAGGAATCACTAAGCCTTGTGCGGGAACATAATCCGGAGCAGGAAAATGCGAAGGGCACTTCAATACGACGGAGGTGTTCATCTGAACAACGCTATTCATAAGGCTAAGGAAGTGAATTCAATATACGGGCAGCAAATGTTTCTGTTTATCAAACTGAAGCGATGAAATCGAAACAAAAACTCGCCACGCAATTTTTGAGCAACCAAAATTTCCTCGAAAAGTGGTTTCGAAACATTTTAGTCTTGGAGCAAAAGGATTTCATATACTTTAGTGAACAAGTTTCTAATTATTCAATGAAAGTAGTGTGAAGAATGCAGGAACTACCCAAAAATCACAGAACAGCTTACAAATCTTTACGCTGAACAATACCAACTCAACTAACTTGACGAAGATATAAAACTTTTCGTTGTACTCGTTGTAACCGCGACTCTAATCCTTGATATGTGGTCTTCAATTGCTCTGCTCTTAAGGAAACACGATCGAATAGTGAGTCTGCTGCCTGATACAATCGCGAAAATAAGGAAAACAACACGGAAATCCGTAAAATAACTGATGTTAGAAGAGCAAATAAGATGAACAACCTGCTTGAACGCATGAAAGCTTGCATGGATGCGGAAAATGGTCTCCTCTTGGTCAAGGTCAGCAGGCGGAAGAAGAATCATGCCTGCTACAAATTACAAGAGGAACATAAACTAGAACTACCCTTAACAACAATCACTTTGAAAAAAAATGTATTATCCATTAAGTTGTAAACTCATCAGTGGAATATACATAGATAAAACTATAAGTACAAAAATTACAATCGCTGAGATTAAGTTTATTGCAAAAACAGATCCAGTAATAAGCACAGTAACACAATTTTCAACAAGGGAACATATCAATCAGAAACCAGCTTTGATCGAATACCCGATTATTTCTCAACTAATCTGTGAATACGCTCATAAACATGCCTCGATACATTTAGAGACGCATTGATGGGTGAAAGACCAGGTTCATGCAATAATGAGAATGCTGCTAGTGAAAAATAAGTGTGCAGAAGATCTGTAAGATGATGAAGCAATAAACCAAAAACGGGTGAAAACTGTCTACCATAATGTGCCGTCAACATACCTGGTGATCCCGATTCTTCAGGAATCTTGCAGAATCCGCCTAAATTTTGATCCTGCGCAACTAAAAGGAAGGAGCGCAGTCTTTCCCTGTCCATCAAGTGATGCGCATCTAAAATCTAAACACAAAAAAATAAAACTTTTTAAAAGGAAATAGTTTTGTTGACAATCGATAATCGATATAAATCTACTTTTGACATATCGCTCACCTCTAATGTGGCACCTATCCAAAAGGCATAACAACTATCATCAGCTTTATGAGCTCTACCATGAAAACCTTCATCTTGCTTCCATAGTGCCCATTTTACTAGACGTTTAATATCTCTTCTGGATAAAACTGAACCGTCCCAAAGGTGGTTAGCAAGTGATAGTGAAGCTATTGCGCAAAAGGTGGATCCACCTGCAAAAGTTCGAAAGGCCTTAACTTAGTACAACCAAAAGTTCATTCAACAGAAAGCCTCATTATTTTTTATTCTTTTTATATGACCCGTCTTCACGGCTACTGTGCGGATCCCAGCACTTCCCATATTCGATTCGCTTCCTCTCTTTTCATTTCATCTTGAACGCTGTAGAATGCTCGTCGAGCAATTCTCCCTGGAGTCTCGAGATAGAGTCCCAGGCTGGGGCGTTCCCAATTGGATTGCAGAGAGATTTTTTTCCCTGACAAGGTCGGTACCAATTTCCCGATCCCGGAGGGATGAGAGGCTTGGTTGGCCCGGAGCGGAATCAAACTAGCACCATACTCGTTATGACGAAGATCACACTCACCGTGCTATCCGCCCCTGGAAGTTTCATCTACACTTCTTAATATAAAATATCTCTAAAAGGAACGATGAGTCTCAAATTGTCAACAAAAAAAACTGCTTCCTTTTCATTCATTCATTATTTACGATAACAAGTTATTAATTAGCAAAAGCTTCCCATCAAATGAACATAATTAGACAAATGCACCTCCCAACGGTTTACCGCTTCATCGTGGCTGGGAGGCCTGCCTGGGTGACGGGCTGCGATGTACAGTGGAGTTATTCATCTCTCTAGCAGGGTCTCAAAAGCTGAGAAGTCCGGCGTTTGCATCAAGAAGACCTGCCAAGAATAAAGCAATACCACGATCCACCATGTGGTGGTGACAACCTGGGGCAAACTTTGGCCTGGCTGACTTAGACACTCCAGGGAACCACAATTGCTAAACCGGTAAAACTCCGAAGAAATGGGGCTTACGCTGTGGCACGCACAATCAGTGTGGACAGGCCATCCAAGTATCCAAGTAAGTAACTACTAATGCAAGACAATGCAAGCCATTACGGGATAACACACCATGACTTTCGTCTCCAGGGCTTTGTCCAATACCTCCGTCGTAATTCAAACTACCTCGTATGAAACGTTTTAGCAATGACCATTTGATACAAGAATAATCTTGGAGAATGTGACTTATTGCAACTGCGCAGAAAACGAATCGCATATCGCTTTCAGAGCCGTATCCCTCACTCCAAAAGCTGCAAGAAATTAAGATTGTATAACAGCACAGAATAATTGACGTTTAAATAACGACAAAATACCTTCCATCATCTCTCTGGGATTTCCTTACCGCTTCAAGCACGGCCGCCCTATCTACACCTTTCAAATCATCACCAAGAATTGCAAGGCACAGAAGAGCACTGAACTTGAAATTAAAGAAAGGAAAAACTATTTACCCATTTTACTCTGCAGAAGGCAAGTATTTTACAACTAATGCTGGATCATCTCCATGGTTACGTTTCAAATGTGAAAGGTAATAAAATAAGAAGAAATACTAGAGTGAAAAATGAGATTACTAAGAAAGAACTACCTGTATGTCTGCGCCAGATTTGATGTGATATAAGCACCCGTATGACCTAACGCGATTCCCAGACAACCTCGAAAGCCGCAGAATTTCCCTTGAAATAACACATGTTTTCTACAAATGGCTTCTCATACTGAATGAATGCCTCTATGTTACTACATCGAAACAATGAGAAAATTGTGAGACTTTATTAAAGCAACGCTGTAACAATGAAATAGAAAAAAAGAACCATACGATAAAACAGGTTGAAGTTAGTACAATAAAATATTATACAGTACAATAAGCGCTCTCAATGACAAGATACACCCATTTTATCCATTGAGTCTTTCCATACGCCATTAATGATTGAAGGCAAAACTGCTTCTGGATGTGAAGCTTGCAGCAGTTCGAAAACCTGACATTCCTTATACATCTCCTTCCTCAACGGATCCCAACTGTTGTATTTCGAAGAAAGTTCTTTCACTTCGAATGCTACATCATGCTTAGTAGAAAGTGAAAACTCTGGACGATGTTCTTCGTCAAGTAGTTTCTGGCCATATTGTTCCTCCTTCGTCATTTTATCGAAGAAATGCTCCACTCTTTTCCGACTCAACAACCACATTTCTTTCAATTCATTGCTCTGAATTTTGCCATAACGCATAGACTGGAACCAGATGCTCCCATCACTTAACGCCCTTAGCAAGAAATCGGTCGGTCGTCCATAATCGTCTTTGTATTCTTGCACAATGGCCATCCCCATTACTGGATAACGAGCAACTCTTTCTTTGTTGTAAAGTGAATACCTCATAGTTTTGTTAATATCAGAACAATTTCCTACCGAGTGAATTGGTAAAATTGATGACCATATTTCATTTTCGTGAATATACAGTCTCGAAACGGAGATATCTGTGAGCAAATGATCGAGCAAGTAAACTGAAACAACGTGTCCATTTCCTTGAGGATCTGCTACGGGCGAAGTAGGGAGAAGCACATGAGAACCGTATGGGATGGTGTGAGGAAGTTGGAGGATAGGATTTTTAGGAAAACGATCATCGCAGAGATAAGCAGAATGTGAAGTTATAATGAAGATGTTATGTGGACGTTCCGGCAGAGATCGTATGTGTTGAATATGAGGACGATCAACTGGTCGATCAGGAACATATGCTGCGTTCTCCAGTGCACCCTAAATGAACGACTTTCAACTTTATTGCTAGCTAGTACAACACCATAAATAATTATATGAATCCTACACCTCTAGGTACACTTAGGGCACAAAGTCACAATGGTGGTGATTTTCAAGTGGAACATAGGGCAAACAAGCGCAATGGCGATGATTTTGAAATGACTCCCCAGATCGTAGCGCGCGAACCAAAAACATCAACGCGAAAGACTCTTGACGCGTTTTGGACATCGCAAGGAAAGCTGGACGAAGCACAGATTTCAGAAATCTAGAGATGAATCGGAAAGACGGGTGCCTCCTTATCACACGCAATGTGGCGCCTTATTTCAAAACAATTTTTGAGCTGGGTGAGTCTCGCTCAACATCCAACGCGCGGGCCAGTCCCACTCGTAAGCACGGTGACTAATCATTTTGATCAATACGGCGTTTATTTATATGTTTGGCCTTCATTAATACTTTAGATATTTCACCGAATATTGGGCTATTGTTACATAAAATTATATGAACTGTTTCACAATAGCCTCTCTGTTAGAATCAGCACAACAATTCGCAAAAACTGAATTAACGTAGCCTACGCTTGCTTTGAGAACTGCCAGCCACACATAGTTCGACATAGGAATATGGAAATTAATACCGTTTTTGTCGTCCTGCTCTTCTTGACCAACACCATATTTCACTCTTCTATGTGGTTTTTAACGCTTTTTTTCTGCTCTGACTATGCAAGGTATAACAAACTGACGTCGACGCATTATATTCAAGGCCTAAAGGGATGACTCACATGCGGGTCATGCCGGCCAAAGTGCCCTTCTCCAGCAAGTGATCCCGTACTCTATGTTGTAAATTTCGCAATAAAATAGGGTTTCTGTGTGCTCTTTATTGGAAATTTTTATGTTTCTCATATCATACACCTATCTTTATGTCCTCCTATGGTTTTCTAGCTCTTGTAACATTTCCAAAGTATAGTTCAGTGTTTTGCTGTTTATATTTGCCGATTCCATGGAATTAATTTCAACTACCATAGCGATCGGAAACAAAATAACAACCGAATATTGGCCAAAATGTGAACCGTGTAGCCTTGAATCACGTGTGCAGCAGATCAAACAAGATTCATTTGTCGACATTCTTCTTGATCGGGAACAAAGCGATGGAATCACTTGTGCTCACAGTTGATGAAGAATCCGAAATCTATCGGAGGAAAGACCTACAAATAAGGACGAAAGAATAATAGAAGAGTAAGTAGTGGGAACCGATGACTAGTGAAGAGATGAAACCACTCACTAATCCGTGTCTCCTACGCATCCCTTAAAACCGTCATTATATTTCCCCGTACTTTTTAAAAAGTATGTCATACAAGCATATTGCTTTCAATTTTAAAAGTCGGTCTCGAAACACATTCATTACTACCCATTCCACACTACACCTACGATCATCATGGCAATTCCGAAGGGAAGGGAAACCCACAACCGCTGAGGAGATCAAAATACTCATTAGACCCTGACTAAATATGGAAAATGTCAGCCTGCCACCGAGATACTGAAGTTGTGATGCTGCCCAGACTTGCCTTCCTCTTGATTCTGAAGCTACTCCAAGAAAACTGTTGATTCACCTTCATTCAGATGAAAATGCAAGACGTTATGAGCGAGTCTATACGAGAGCACTAGGCAGATCGAATACTTAGCAGAAATTATGAAATCTCTTAGGTCATATTTAGAGAATTGGAAATAGTCTGTGTGTGACAAAGCTTTGCCGCCAACGACCAAAGGTCAGAGACGATCGCATTCTGCAGGACAACCAGTGGACGAGAGCCATTAGCGAATGGATTTCTTGGGATATCAAACACACAGAAGGAAAATCGTCGAACTGACGTTTGGGATTCTTCACAAATACGGTAAAAGAATAACATGACGCTTAGTGAGTCCCTAAGGCAATCTCACTGGGCTACATTCGCACGCGACCATAAAATCAAACAATGCTGAAAAATCCCATATAACTCAGGACATCGAAGTTGTGTCTGGAATTGAAATCGTTAAGTATTGTAGGAATAACGTTTCTTGCAAAAATTTTGTGACGAAAACACACGTTTTGAAAACGTGGATCTCCAGGACGACATTCTGCCATCAATGACGACCTCTTGAATAGGTCAACTGTCACAACCATGCACACCGGTTTGATAGCTGACACATTTGGAACAATTCAACCGAATAAGTAAGATTTCGAATAATGGCCATTGAATGTTGCAAAAACACAGTGATAAGCCATTTTAAGAACTACCAAAATGCATTCCGTATTACAGCACACGACGTTCAGCACTAAACTGGATAGTAATGAAAGAACGCATCACTTCTTGAAGCGAAATTCGCAGCAAAGGGAGGTTATCATGTCTTTTTCGAGCTCGACAGATAGAAATAGCTATAGGAATTTTTTGAATCTTAACTAAAGCACTACAGTACATAGCCCAGAAATCGATGCAATGAATTAAGAATCACTACGTCCGCCACCCTACCGATAAATCGGGAAGACTTCAAGAGTTCCAGTTTTTGAAAATAATTGAAATGAAAATGCTCCAAAATGAAATAAAAAAACTCCATATCTCAACGGCTAAAACGTCGAGATTTTAACGCAGATGACAACAAACTTTCGTCGACCACCTTGTTTTTTGGTAACTAATGTGGCCAAGGAGTTGTTAATTCGGCACATTTGTAGAACTCGATTTCAACTAACGTCATTGTGGTAAAGGTTTGCTTAAAGCGTTATTCTTGAAATCGTCCAAATTTTCAAAAAATTCGGAGCACATTTTAAATTTATAGACTTTTCCAGTCTAAGTTGGGAACTTCAGCGATGAATTGCATGATATCACTGCACTATCTTGTACGAAATTCCGCTTGCTAAATTGCTGCACGAAATACGAGCCCTGACGGAAAAAAAAGCGGAAAGGTAGGTTTCGCAGGCTACGGAGAATCAGAACTTGATCTTGCTTTGGGAGAAGAGCTCATACCCTATAGGCGAAAATCTGTAGACTCTCTTTTATCCAGATTAATATGAAGTTCAGTGTGAGCTAAGATACTACTACCTAAGGCCAAAGGCGCAAATACCTTCAAACAAGGATGAATCATAAATGACTTGTCTCATCGGTAACGTGTTCATAATCTTATTTCGACTAACGAATTTGATAGTGGGCTAAAGAGTCCGAGTTTCTGTTTGAAAATTAAAAAGAAGATAAGAAATAAACTAAAAGAAATCCACATTATGTTTCGGATATTTGACTGAAGTAAGCAAACTAAAAGAAAAAAAAGTTGGGCTTAGTGTTTAAAATTTACAGTGAGATATAAGACAAAATAGGAAACGAAATCTCTAAGTTGCATTTAGCTCAGCTGCACAGTACCTTCTTGGACAGTTCGGGTACACTAAATATGACAGTGGAATTGGCAACACTATCTAGGCGAAGGTCCAATGTCCGCACTTCATAGTCAGAAGACGCAAAAACAACACGAGGATGATCGCTATGCGATAATGCCTAAAGATGTTTACTAAGAAACACTAAAAAGATGACGAAGAGAACAGTGCCAATCTGGAGAAAACCTTTATATCATTGCAGTAGCTCTTTGTCCGGGATAATGGTGACCCCACTGGTCCATTCCACACCATACCGCCCATATCACACAATGTTACATTACCAGGAAGTAGAACGTTTTCTTCGAAACATTGAACCGAACTCTATTAAAATCTCATCTCTATTTATTAATACTGTTTTCTCCTGATAACAAAGAAAACAAAGGTTGCCAGAAAATACAAAGTATTTCTTTACCCTGAAAACACGGACAATATCTGCAGTGTTCGGTTTTACGACGCTCAGATGGCGCTTACATCGCACCCAAAGTTCTTTGCCGTGCATATGACAAACTCGTAGTTCCTGTATCGGATTTTCCATATCTAATTCACAGCAAATTTTGTCTTTCGAAGATAGAACTCCGTCCCTCACCTATGTAAAACATCCAGAGCTTCGTTGAAGTAAAAACTCTAATCACAAAAATCACTCTAATCTGATGTAGTCATCTAAATTGGGTCGTAGAGTAATCCACCGACCTTTATTTTGAACTCCTGGATTAAATTTTGACCGATATACTCAGAAGTAGTCCACAATGCCATTTTTTTCATACTTTGCCGCCTCACAGCCAGTAAGTTTACATTAGTCAATAAAGTACTGTCCATGTCAGAACGAAAATTTCCAGGTGGCCGACGAACAGCAACCTACTCGAATGATAAAAATTAACTATTATCGAGAAATGAGTAGTCCTAAGCATACAGAGTATTTGGTTTATGTATGAATTTGTGACCCTTCTGACTAAAATCACATTTCTCCAATTTTGAAATTATTGGGATGCTTTCTAGGCTGATCTGCAAACTTTGAAACAAGACATGGATAAATGACAAAATGGATCACCAAAATTTGCACAACCTGCACAAAATATCTTGCCTTTTTTCTCTTTGAAAGGAAATATATACTTACGTTGTCAGTATTAATGCAAAATCACACAGAAGTTCATTTTTCTAGAATGTTAAAAAAAAACAACGACTTCTCAATAATTCCTGCAAGCAGCTATTTGTTTAAAAAAAACTTTGAAGAATATGAAGCGGTCCCTAAACTAAGCAGCCAGAATGTGGACAAATTTGGACCTATTCTCAAACACTTTCTGGACAATAAAATTGAAAAAGTTTACGAATCAAATATGGCAGGAACGCAGGCGAAAAAGATTTAGTTTTTTTAACTTTAGGAAAACAAAATCCAGCTTAAATTGAACAATACTAATTTAAACAGCTACCAAATCACTAGGAAGCAAACATATTTCTTTAAAAGATAATGCAGATTTGCTATAAAGTAACAATGAGATTCTGATGCTCTGGAACCCATAACTCGTCTTCTCTTTTCGTTTTTTCCTTTTTATTGAACATGCTAGAATCCACCCAGCAGAAGAGAGTGAAGTCCACAAGAAAACTTTAACAGAAACAAGGGTTCGAATTGGCATTGGGAAATCCTTATTATTTATAAAAATATGGTGGAACGTTAAGAAATGAAGGTGAGCGCTCCTACGTAATAAAAGAAACTAGTGAAATATTACTAAAAAAAACAACTATGACTGTAAAAACTCGGTAACAAATTTTCATCAATTACAAACACACTCACCTTAATCGATCTGGGTGGCAAAATTGGTTCAACGAAACCAGAGATCACGGGTGCCACTGGTCTCTTCCAATACGCAGCAAGGTTATACTGTGGTATGTTTTCTCCCGACTCATGGTTCGTTAACATACCGCCGAATCCTCGCCATCCATAGTCAGCCAATCCGAAGTCTCGCAACTTCGGTTCAAAGTATAGAGCACTCATTTACGATAAATATAGAGCTACAATATACATCACAAAAAAAGACCAACCCAATCTAGCAATACATCAAAATTAATTAAACGGTACCGAAAACTTATGTAGAAAAATATATCAAAAGTTTTCAGAGCTGTTATTAACTCTGGTTTTTAACCCTTCTTTTACAATTCTGTTAACTCGTTTGCTTTTTCAAAACAGGAACGATCAAAAAACGATATAACACATAGAACATAAAAAAAATGATGAAGATCTCGGAGTTGATTTAACTCTGAGGGATGCGCCATGCATTCGACTTCATTAAACATCGTTGGAAGTGAATGAATGCATATTTGGTCTTTACAACGACCTGGTGTGGTCTACCGATGTATCGAACAACTGCTGCTATCTTCCCAGACAAATCTTGTAGCAAGCTGCTCACACCGGATAAATAGAAACCTTGGTGAGCCTGGGGTGCGGAGATCGATCCTATGATTAATGCACAGCACCGACCAATGCGCTACACGCGCCCGCCACGCAACGTCGTAAAGACGTAGTTTCACACTTCACGTTTAACTTCTTCTTATACACAACTGGTTGTTGATGTTACAATAAACAGCAAAGCCCTTCGAACTAGACAAAAATGAATTTTTCACAAATAAAAAACTGAAGAAATTCGCACTAGTAAGCAGAACGGAAGCAAAACCTGTATTTTCAACTACAGCCAATAATCGCATTCCCATAACAATATGTCAATCCATAGGAGTTCTAGTAACATGAGAAACAGTGTGAAAGATGAATTGCACACAACAAAAGCAGCATAGTGTGCGCCAAGGTCCTTCCTAGAGCTACCGACCACCTAACTGTGGTTCGTCAAGATTTTTCCTTACTAAAAATATGTCAAAAGAATATGCTAAGGCCCACTCGACGTAGAAGATATGAAAAAAACGGAAACACCAGAAATCACCTAAACAGAACTAAAAATGATTTTACTTTCTATACTAAGATTTGTCCTTCCCATTCACTATACAGAACATAAATGACACTGGAACGGCCAATGTTATAAGAAATGGAGGAAGTGAGCATAGAAAATCAATGCACAAACAAGTGTAAAAAAGTGAAAACGACCAACATAGGGAAGCCTATATAATCGCACAAGGAGAATTCTGAACAATACACAGAGCCACAACGTTGCTGAGATATTTGCAAAACTCTGGACCGCAGGTGTCTATGGTGGGGAACGAACGCGCTATTGTCCTTTCCGGAGAGTAACGCGTTCACCACCACACCATGCGGGTCCTTCGTTTTGCCTGTCTCTCAGCTATTTCTATCGATCTTTTTGCCACAGCAATCACCCGTCAGCGGGGTTGATTTGGGGAGCGCAAATCGGCATAGAACCTAGTTAAGCTATGGCTGTAGTTGAAATCACAATGTTTAACGTTTTGTTTTCTTCCTTCTATAATTTGATTGCTGTGGCAAAAAAATCGATAGAAATAGCTGAGAGACAGGCAAAACGAAGGAGCCGCATGGTGCGGTGGTGAACGCGTTACTCCCCGGAAAGGACAATAGCGCGTTCGTTCCCCACCATAGACACCTGCGGACCAGAGTTTTGCAAATATCTCAGCAACGTTGTGGTTGTATTTCGCTTAGTCACCTGCCATAAAAATTATAGAAGACAGAAAACAAAACTTTAAATACACAGAGCTTCAAATTTTCATTAGATAGTTAAACCTTGTTAACAAAAAAAACATACCCGGACCAGAGACTTGCAGTTTATAGATCCAGTCCACAATAGACTTTCTGCGGTCTTCAGTCAAAAAGCTATTTAATTCACCTAATAGATCCAGAGCGGAGACGGCAAAGAACAGCAGGGTAACTCTAAAACCAGTAACTCTACCGAAACTGAGAATTCAGTTCCTGAAAGCCCCCAGTTCCAATATCAAGAAAAAATAAAATGAAAAATGAATGGATGAAACAAGTGTTAAAAAAATGTGTAAAACGAAGTAATAGGAAATAACGATTAACCTGCTAGTATCTAATGAAGAGTACTGTTCGGGAAAGACATTCAAGTGTCGTATAAGAAACTTCACGTGTTTTCGAAGAATAAGACACTCTGACATGCACTGAAGAACTTGGAAACGCCTAAAGTCCATTCCTTCTATAAGTGGTTTTGAAATAATCAATTCGCATAGACGAAGATAAAACAGAACAGAAGAGTCAACACGAAAAAACATTTATACATACACTTCAGCAAAAGGGATAACAAATCAACAAATTACCACAACAACTGAAATAAAGTTGGTTAACTATAAAAAGAAGAAATAAACGAAATATAACCTTAAAAAGTAGAAAACACCAATAACTTCTACCGTATCACTTATTCCATAAAACAGCAACAAATTTTTTGAATGTATCCATGTTAACATGGTCGATTTTCGTCAGTTGCTCATAAAAAGGTTTCGGTTCATATAACGGACAACCTGAATCACATAGCATTCACCACATGATAGATCAATCTCTTCAGTAATGAATAAAACAAAAAAACCCACGCACCTTTTTCAACCCAAACGATATTTTTAATTCGCCCTTCAGTACTTAAATCCGTTGTATTCAACTGAAAAACCACAATGTCCAGTTTCCCGTCTACAAGTTGTATACCCTTCACCACCTGGAAGAAAAATGAAATGCTGCGCAACCTCACAAATTCAGGTGTGTTAAAAGCACTACTATTTTAAAGCATAGACGACCACGAGCACCGAAATGGGTGCATGCCTATTCACTGACTTGCAGAGGTTTTTACCACCCTTTTTATATCCTATCGGCAGCTCGTCAAATATGGATGTAGTATTAGGCATGGCTCATGAAAAGCTGTCCTAACACTGTTCTAACAAACCGCTTAATAATTTTCCAAAACTCTATTTTGCATGAGATCATTCTACGACAAGAGATTAACGCTGACAAGAGAAATTATACAGCACAAACAGCATAGCCACTGAACAGGCGCAGAAATACTTTTGCTTGAATACTAGAATTCGACAGCTAGGATAAGATGATAAACAATAAAGAAGACTCGTAAGATCATTATCAACCTCGTGTAAGCTCATCAAAGAAAGAATACATATTGATTAGTGATACCGAGGTTCAAGGAAAGTCGGTTTCGAAATATTACTACGCTTTGTGCTAGCTGATAACAACACCGACTTCTGCACGATGTGCGTAATGATGTATGTCCGGAAGAAAAACAAGTCGTTATCACCGGACATTATTATTATATCGACCATCAGCATCGTGTATAAAAGGGCATCACTGAGTGAGGATGCCTCATTCGAGGAGATGGCTCACTGAAGAAGACCTGACTCGACACGAAGGCGAAGCTGCCACGTCGAGACGAATAACAAGCGAGGACCATCGACTCGGATCATCGGCTCTGAGGAAGACGAAGACGTCGAAACGTTAGCCGAAAATAAACAACATTATCAACCTCGTGTAAGCTCATCGAAGAAAGAATACATAAAGAAAACTTTCCAACGTGACTCGACACATGCGTCTATCACTATGCTTCACTCCAGTTCGCCTTTCTAAACAGTCAACAAGTACACCTTTTGCTACTTTTCCCCTAGAAATTGCAAGTTACAAAATCGACGGAGTTTACTCAGAGATCGTTCTTACTTAAAACTTGTACTTCTTGTCTACAATAAATAATTTTCACATTCCGACCGTTCCGCTAAACAACAGCGTTGTAATAACCTACACATTGTCCCTACTTCTTCAGACCCTTGGTGATAGTGAATTGTGGTGGATGATTTGTATGGGAACCCTTTTCCTGTTTTTTACCAATGATATGGGTCCATCTGCCCAATTAGTCCGAAACCAAGGAAAGGATCGTGTACCGGTGCAGACATGTCTTCTTCCAGCTTGTAAATGAGAAATAAACTTTAAAGCCATATAATGTGCTACATCTACAGTAAAGCCATATAGTGTGTCACATCTCCAGTAATGGAGGTACCGCTACTAGTATACATTCTGTAGCCAACTCCTTTGCACAGTGTGACTAGCATGAGTCCGTCTTTGTGCCACCAATATAGGACATACTGGCGGAAGACGATTCTTCCTGTGTACTTTCCAGGTGAACGTATTGTACTTCAGTTCATGTAGACAAGGTGAACCGCAGCCTAATCTTGTATAAACTTCTCGCCGTTACACTTTGTGTTGTCGGCAAAGTGAAAGTTAGCTTTTCAAATGTCTTCTCTTAATAACAGGGGCTGCAATAAAGCAAGATAGAGAAGCACGATGGGAACTTCAATAATCCCTCAGTTGCCGTAACCTAGCAATGTGTGCCCTAAGGTAATTAGCGATGAATCTTTCCATCCCACTAACACTTGTTGCTTCCCACGACACATCCTTCTCTAGAGCATACCTGTTCCTCTCGTTCACAACAAGTTCTCAAATAACAGTCATAAACAACTCACAAAAGTCTCTTGATTTCAGTCACCGACTTACTAACTTTTCATTTACAACAGTTTTGCTCTGGTGCATGCAGTACAGTGGTCGGAGGCGCCCTGCAACACGATGGGGTCGATCTTCGCGCCCAAGGCTCACCAAGACTTCCATCCCTCTGGGTTTGGCAAATTGGTAGCAGACGTTCCTCGAAGGGAAGCGGCACTGGCTCGATACATCGGCAGGTTACCGAGAGTCATTGTAAAGGTCAAATACGAATTCAACCACCTCCAACCATACTTAACGAAGTCGAATGCATGGCGTATTCCTCTGGAATTTATCAACGCCGAGAGCTTTATTCTTTTTTTATCTAACAGCTTTGCTTCCAATAAAGAGAAAAAGGTTTTAATGCATTGGATCATCTGACCACTTACTACTGACATCATCAACATATTCCTCTTTTCCTAGCAATTCGTTATCATGAGCCTTTTTGACAGAAATTAAAGGAGATTCCACGACATCCTCCTCATACCCAACTTCTCCATTTTCACTATCGTTGAGAAATCGACTGAGATCAATAATGAAATGAGGAAAAACGTGAGGAGTGGAAAGAAGAAACCGAGGGAGGAAGTGTAATCAGACAAGAAAACAGGCACCTTATATACGGCAGGCGTATCTTCCAGCATTTTACTCAATAGTCACGGAACAATGACAACAATGATTATGGTTCCTCCTCCAAAATTAGTCAAAATCCTGTCAATTTATTGAGGCTGTTAATTTTTGCATGTTGGTAGATAAACACGTGTGATTTAAGCGAAACCGAAAGTGACTACCCCTTCCAACAAGTATATCCTCAACTTACAGTGAGATTTATCAATTGCAATAAAACTGCCAAAACCTGCGGGAAAATTATCGGGATTATTAGAGAGAAGTCATTATCGCTTACGAAGAGCATACAAAGTCCAATTTTTGACAGGTAATTCATTGTTTTTTCATTTCACTCCCAATTGTTACGACGAGTCATGACAGTTACACGGAATGGCCAGTTACAAGAAATACCCATAATGATTCAACACCAGTGCCAAAATCATTTGGAATCCTGACAGCAATTTGTTTGGCTGGTGAAACACAGTAAAGCGTAGAATATAGCACCAACGTTATACGTCCCGATGGATAAGAAAAGCCTCTTCCATACCCTTATGAAACTCTTAATCCCGTAAGTCCTCTAGATGCCGAAAATATATCGTTCCTTGTCGAGAAAATCCGAGTTCGCTGGGCTTAAACTGAGCACAATTTGCAGGCTCTTCTGGCGTCCAAAAGATCGATGGTGGCCGTCTATCCATTAAAATAAAAAGGATATTTTGATCATGTAATTAGGATACCACTGGATCTTCGTCCAAATTTCTTCTCCTCCTTGATGCCTCAGCTACAGCAGCACCAAATGTATGAAGCACTGCATTACCTGCATTTTGTTCTCTGAAAATATTACTAAATTAGTGATACGAAATAATAACACAACCACATCCACTAACACTAAAGAACAAAGCGATTAAAGCTGGTAGCACAAGGTTCTATTGGAATTGATTCCAACCCACTTTGTCCATGGATACTTCTGATTTTGCTCACGTGACCACAACACTGTATGGAGCGACACTTCAGCATTAGGTCGTGGGACCACGCCTGATTCATTGTAGATGTGCTCAGACCCCAAATCGATCAATGGTGATAAGGGGGCAATGCTTGGCAACTGCATGTGGCTAAAACAATGGAAAAGTTCGTACAATAAAGGAAATAATATACATAAATTGAAAACATTTCTGCGCCCAACACAAATATTGTGATCCCGCAAAGAAAAAAAATCCCTTGAAGGACTAGAACATTCCACAACTATACACACGGCCTGCACTGAAGTAAAATTACCTAGTTTCTTCAACTTCTCTCCTATTGCACCATGGAGTAACCGGTTTCGAAACTTGCAAGCATACATCAGGTTGGAAACGAAGCACAAGTGGATTTTCTGCGAACGAACCGATATTCGGCAAAGTTCCACTTATTGGTTCATCGCGATCGAAGCTTAAACGATAGTAAGATAAAACAAAAAAAAGCGTTTACCGGTAGTTTCTTACCACCATCAAAAACTAAGAGTATTAAAAAGAGAATGCAGAGATTGTACAGCGTTAAACTGCTTGTAAGACTAACATACCCCAAAAACGTAATTACTCCACAAAAAAAAAATGAGGAAAATATGACAAACATGTGTACCGCATATGGTCCGTGATGTTCCCATTGCGAATTCCAGAAAAAATGACACATCGAGCGAGGTTGCTGAGAATGATTTTCCTGGAAAACTTCGTTACGAAACATGTTCGAAAAATAAAACCAATGAGTAGTATATGTAATAGGGATAAAACAACTAAAAAAAAATGAGATCAAACTAACTCAACGAAAAAACGACAAGGATAAGATGATAAAAGAACAAAGCTCTCGGCATTGAACAAACCTTCAGCGCTATGCATTTGACTTATATATGGCCTTCACAATGACTCGTGATGGCCTACCGATATCCCAAGCTAATGCAGCTATACTTCCAGATAAGTATGGTACCAATTTGCCAACGCCAGAGAGATGGAAAGCATGGTCAGCTGGGGGCGCGGGATCGAACTCATGTGTACAATAGGGCCTTTTCGACCACTGCGTCCACAAAATCTTGTACCGTCTTTTCACTAATCTCAGTTGTTCATAGACGAAAGAGTAATGATGGTCATTCGGCAAAAATAATGGCTCAGATTTACAAAAAAGAACAATATTTACATACAGTCGCTTTAATACCGGAGTACCGTACACAACAGGATGATGTACCCAAAATAGTACTGGATCGAATCGACGTGGCAACTTCTCCAGTGTTGGGTCGTACTTTTCACCGTGAAGAATTGCATCACGCACCTAAAAAAGAAAGGCTTGAGTTATTGAGTTTCTGGTATTAACAACGAGATTAACTTTTCAACGAGTCATTAAACTAAGTAAAGAGTTCCTGAGTTCATCTATATTTGCTGTTTCGAAAGCAACGAAGAGAAAAAACCGTTTAAAAATAACCTAGAAATCGCGCTACACAGCGCGATAGACTAACAAGGATAAGCATAGCACATATACAGTGAGAGGGCAATTGAGTAAGACTGTTACCATATAGAATTCGTTTTGCTATTTCAATCAAACATAAATCTAATTTTAACCTATTATTTACTGCCTATTCTTTTTAACGGCAGGGTATATTGCGAAATATAACTTTCAATAATGCTCAGATATTTTGCAAAACTCTGGACCGCAGGCGTTTGCGGGACCGAAAGCGCTAATGTCCTTTCCGCGGAATAACGCGTTCAACAACACACCATGTGGGTCCTTCGTTTCACCTGTCTCTCAGATTTTGTCTCTCAGATCATTCCCGCTGACGGGTGATTGCTGTGACAAAGATCGATAGAAATAGCTGAGAGACAGGCGAAACAAAGGACCCGCATGGTGTGGTGGTGAACGCGTTACTCCCCGGAAAAGACAATAGCGCGTTCGTTCCCCACCGCAGACACCTGTGGTCCAGAGTTTTGCAAATAGATAAGATTAACTTTTTAAACCTAACTCGAAGAATGTACAAACGTGACACATACTGCGCTCCCGGAAAGGGTAATCGCGGTTCAATCTGACCTGGAATCCAAGTTTTGCAAATGTCTCAGTAACACTGTGGCCGTATTTCATGTAATACCCTGCCGGGAAGAATAAGTGGTAGAGGATAAGTTAAACTTTATAATATATAGTACTCTTGGTATTGACAAATTGGTTAGAAACTTACTAACCACATCTTCCAAGATGTCAAGATGACCAACATTATGAATCACAGTCTCTGGTAATTCCGTTTTCACTATAGCTTTGCTCAGCACGGCTGCCTGATCGATACCGTCACTCATCGGAACAGTGCCATCAAACAGAAAGCACCGGACTTTATGGTAGAGTGGATGCTCCTTAAAACCCACATGGTAAATGTATAAATGAAAATAAACTGATGCAACGAACTGGAAGAAAAGAAGAGCACCTATATGTTCCTATAAACACTGCTTTCAATTCGCATGACCGACTTTCTATTAACTTCGGCATTTTGACCAAATCTCGACATTCTTGCTGACCAAACACGAAATGTTACTTCATTCCTTATTCCGGCAAGACGTTTCGGAAGTATCGCCTTCTTCGGAGTCCGAAAGGGTATACTGATACACATTTTATTAAGCCAAACGCTGCAAGAACACAAATAGAAGGATGAAAATCTGAATGATAGTCACATGGTTAATAGCTTTTTGAAATATCCACCGTTTCTGACGTGCCTCCCACTGAGCAAGAACAGAATAAAAAGGTTTTTCGAGCTGTTGATCATGTGATTTCCACATATATTTTCATGTTTCTATTTGTGTTGTTGCAGCGATTGGCTTGATAAACTGCATATCATAGACCCTTCCAAGATCCGAAGAAGGCGATACTGCCAAAGCGTCAACTTTACCGGAATGAAGACTAAAGTAACAGCTCGTGTTTGCTCAAAAGGATTATAACGAACCGCGTTAGATAGTAAAAAACATAGCTGTAGCAACCATAGATTCTGAAATGGAAAAAAATCACCTCAATCGATGGAACACGAAAAGCCGGGTGAGTTTCGCGAAGATCCGGGAGAGTGTTCGCCGCCCGTGTTATAGGCGTGAAAAACGACGGTTCATTTGGATCACATACAGTGATTCCGGCAGCCTTTAAGAGTTAAATTTCACTCACATATCACATGAAGTGCCGAGTGCCGGGCAATTTAACACTGAACTTCGATAAACTTTCAGTGAAAATATCGTTCATAGACAGTAAACTGCACCTCGTGCTCAAGTATTTCTAAAGGAAACTCACTTTAACAGCAGCAGGTACATTGAAAGCCTGCATCTTTCTGTTATTTCGTGCTTTCAGAATCGCTTTGAATATCCGGGTGTCCATTTTTCCCCATTGTTTAACAGGTCTATACTTTCGGAATACCATACTGAAACAACGTCCATATTTTTGTCGTAAAACAGAAACTTACTGAATAACTAAATGGAACGACACACCGACAAACGGGGCTAAATTTTAGAACGTGTCCGGAGATAAGAATCTTCTTCACGAAACAGTGCCTATAGGAGCGGAAATGTTCTTCTAAATGAAACATAACCTTAATTTCCTCTTCTTTACAGTTCAGAAAGCAAGTTTAATCCTTTATCTGCTCATCTGTGGTCACTTAGGACTTCACGGACCTATAGTCGCTTAACAGCTCATTATAAAAGATCTTAAAAGACCTAAAAGTCTCTTTTTAGAGACTACTGCTTAAGTATGACAAAAGCCTCTATTTTCGTACTATAGTTGAGTGTGCTTCATTGAACTAAGTCCATTTCGTTCTCCTACTCGAGCCCTTCACGAGGAATACCTACCTACTTAAGTAATACCTAGAGATATAGAATACCACAAACGTCCATCTACTCTATTACTACGACAAACCAAATATGATAACCAACTAAAGTTATAGATCATTTCCACAACAGGGATATTCTATAATATACATACCAACCCTCTAACGTTTAAGGCATTAGCTAGATGAATAAGTATTGTTAGCATTCATGGACTCTAGGGAATTTTATAGAACATTTTTCCCGGAGGTAATAACAACTAATATGTCATCCTTCAGCATTATCACCAGAAAACGATTTTTTCCAGCAGCTGCGTCGCGACTTCGTGTTATAGCACACAATCTTTGTGCATTGAGTTGAAGTGTTGCTTCCTGTATTTGTTATAAGATACAATTTTTGTTGAAATTTTAAAAATTCATTCACATGTACAAATATTATTATACCACTATCTATTTGATCCGTAATCACACCTACTGTGCAAATCCCAGCACTTCTTGCATTCGATTTGCTAGGCGAGTTAACTCGTGTCGACACGTATTGGAGGACAGCGTTGTGGAGGGGATCAAAATAACACCGAGCTTTCTGATATAGTGCATTACTTACCACACACCGAGCTTTCTGATATAGTGCATTACTTACCACATCGCTACCTCCGGTCTTTGTCTTTGATTCGTTGCCGCACCTTGGGCTCACCAAGCCCTCCATTTCTCTGGAGTCGGCAAATTGGTACTAAACTTGTCTTTGAGGGCCTCTGAGCACTGGCACAATACATTAGTAAACCATAACGAGTCATTGTAAAGGCCAGATACGCATTCACTCACCTCCAACGATGTTTAATGAAGTCGGATGCATTGCGTATCGCACAAGCCTTGATCAATGTCAAGTGGTTTATCCGTTATCCTTATCTGCCCTGAGATATTGTCCTAAAGCGGTTGGTTGATTAGTTAATCATGGAAAGCGATACTGTCCTGAAGAAGCCAAAAATGGCAACGACGAGAATTAGAACACTAATGTCATAGCTCAAAGGAGTATCGCATGTACCCATAAAATAGCAACATTTTTGACACATTTATGTTGAAAGATTCTCCTAGGTTCTGTTATTACTACAATGTGAGCTTTTTATTTGCTGCTTATTACTACTTTTTACGGCAGGGTATGATGCGAAATACAGCCACTAGGATGCTGAGATATTTGCAAAACTTGGACCTCAGATTAGATCGAACCCGCAATTGCCCTTTCACGGACTTACGAGTTACCCACTGCAGCATTGCTATCTCAGCATCATAATGGTCCTGTTTTTATTCTTCAATGTTCATTTTGCACTACTTTTCAGTTTTGTGTTTTAAAGTGAGCAAATAAACGGCAATAACAAAATATTTTTGAAAACAGCAGAATAAAAAATGTGACGTAAATGTGTTTCACAAAGTGTGTAGTGACAATGAAGTGAACATATTAGTCAAATATTGTGTAGAAATAGTTGAAATCGTATAAGTTCAAGCGGTGTTATAAGTACTAAACTATGTGGCCAAAGTAGTAACTCCGTCTCTACACTCAAATGTAAAAATATGTAGCAACAATCACTGACGAGCCCGCTGGTCCAAATGATCCCGAGGTTAGTAAACGTGTAAACCACGGACCTCTCTCATATGAGGGATCTCGAGCCGGTTAGTCGCGAAGCTACGTGGCGCGTTCCCAGGTGGCGGATAGTGGGTTGATCGCGGACCAAAAGCGACCTTTGCTTCCCTGAGATGCAGGTGGATCCAGGGGATGGACTCTCTGTTTCTGCTGCGCTGATTTGGCACATACTTTCTCTATTTGCTAGGCGTACCACTTTGGGATGGCCTGGCAAACTACCCGTGAGTATACCCAGCCCCCACTTTCAGAGCTCAGGTATCAGAAATGCTAAACACAGTCATTCCCCTGACCCCGAAAGAGCCCCAATTCGGCAGCGTTGGGTAGGACGAGTACGGAGAGGCTGCTAAAATCTCAGGGCCAATTGGAACAGCCTGGATTTCAAAGAACTAAGGTGACAATCTGCACCTACAATGCACGTACACTTGCATCCAAGTCCTCGATAGAAGACTTGCTCACGCAAGCAAGAAAGATAAGGTACGACGTCATCGGCCTGGCCGAGACGAAACGACGCCACCCACTCAACGCCGTCTATGACACCAAAGAAGAACTGTTCCTCGGAACATGCGACGGTAGAGTCGGCGGCGTCGGCGTTCTCGTCAACACGAGTTTAGCAATGAAAATCGATTCATTCGAACAACTTAGAGCCCGAATCGGATGTTTACGTTTAAAAAGACGTGGACCAATTCCGGCTTTGACAATCTTCCTCGTTTGTGTGAAGACATAAAACTATGACGAAGAACAAGTCGAAGCGTTTTAAATTGGCTCGAGAAAGTTCTACAGAGAAGACCATACACTCTTCAAGGTTATCACTGGAGATTTCAATGCCAAGGTTGGATCAAGAAGAACGTCTGAAGAACGTCACATTGGGACCCACGGATTAGAATGGAAAGAACAGGGTGAGCGGCTGTCTCAGTTTATTATGGCGACCAAGACAACCCATGGTAGCTCGCAATTCCAGAAGCCCCACCCTCAGCGCTCGACGTGGGAGTCTCCCACTGAAGTTACCATAACGAAATAGACCACATCATAGTAAATAGAAGGTTTTGCTTAACCGATGTCGCTGTTGTCCCAAAATTCTACGCGGGATCAGACCGTCGACTCTTTCGTGCAAGATTCTATTTCTCGCGGAAAGGAGAAAAAGCCGCTAAATTCCAAAACCGATGTTGCAGAACCACCGTAAACTGGAACTTATTCAATTCATTAGTCGGCTGTTGCCAAGTTACCGTTGTCTATAACATCGACGAAGAATACTATCGGCTCATTCAGCATCTTCACGTTAGTACTATGAAAGTTGAGAGCTCGAAAGTCACCAAGAGACATCTGTCTCCAGAAACTCTCGGGCTGATACGCCAGCGTGGAATCGCACGAGCAGCAAGCAACCGTGAACTTAAGTCTGGACTTGCAAAACGATACAGACGGACGCTAAAAGGAGATCTTAAAGAGAGAAGGTCGGCAGTAATCGTCGAAGCTGCAGAGACAGGCAAAAGCACTCGCAAACCCCGCTGAAACTTCGCCAATTACAAGACCGAGATGATTGCACTCTGGCGCCGAGACGGAACAGTTACAGCGTCCAGAAAGGCAATGGAGAAAAGGATTCACGAATACTACTCAAATCTCTTCGATAACCACGTCCACCTTCTTCCACATGAAATAAAGGAGGATGGATATGTTCTACCACCGGTTCTCACTTCTGAAATCCGGCATGCCATTTCGTCGGTGAAAAATCGAACAGCACCAGGTCCGAGCAGGATAAGACCAGAACACCTGAAGAACCTTCCGCCAGTCCTCGTAAACACACTGCCTCGGATCTTCGCACGTTACCTGTCTCAATGCAAGGTCCCTACTCAGTGAAAGACCAGCAAGACCGTGTTATTGTTCAAGAAGGGTGAGCTACATGATATCGGCAACTATCGCCCAATCTGCTGCCTGTCGTCTACAAACTTTTCACTGGAGTCATTCTAAACAGGATTGACAGAACACTAGACGAAGGACAGCCATGTGAGATAGCAGAGTTTCGAAAAGGATTTAGTACGATGGACCAAATCCACGCGATAAAACGGCTCATTGAAGTATCGCGAGAGTACAAAGGACCGCTCTGTCTCACTTTCATCGATTTACAGAAGGTCTTTGATTCAGTTGAGATAGAAGCAGTCTTGGAAGCTCCAGTACATAAAGTATACCATCTTCGCTTTGCTGATGACATCGTCCTTGTAACATCAAATATTAGCCAAGCGGAATGTATGCTTGACGACTTTGAAAAAGCCTGTGAAAAGATTGGTCTTGGACTAAGTCTCATAAAAACGATGTTCAAGAAGAACGGATTGGCTTCGCATGCCCCATTTACGCTCAACGGAACCAATCTCTCCGAATGCTCCAGTTACGTCTATTTAGGTCGGGAAATCAACACGATGCTCCAGCTCCAGAGCCGAGCAGAAGGAAACGGGCGGCTTGGGGAGTTTTCAAGAGCATCGAGGACGTAGTGAAGAGAACAAAGAACACCCGACTCCGTGCCCACCTTTTCGACTCAACGGTACTTCCTGTCCTAACATATGTGTCAGAAGCCTGGTCGCTGCGTAAGCAGGATGAAAAGTCACTCAGCGTTATCGAATGCGCAGTCGAAAGGACGATGCCAGGAGTGTTCCGTTCCACGCACGTAAAGGATGGGATCCGAAGCTCCGATCTGCGTTAACGATCAAAGAACAAAGATGCCGTTCTGTACGCCAAGCAATCGAAGATAAGGTGGGCCGGACACGTAATGCGTATGAATGGCAACCGATGGACAAGAGCCGTTAGAGACTGGATTTCTCGGGATGTCAAACGTACTGCAGGAAGACCACCGACCCCATTGTCAGAGTTGTACACAAAGAGCCTTGAAGAAAGATACGATGCTCGACGAGTCGCTATAGCGAGCAGGACCCACTGGACTAGTCTTAAACGCGACAAGGAAATATGGAAGATTTACTC